GTTTAAGTTTAGTTTTTAACTTTATTTCATCAAATAAATATATATATAGAATATTTTATCGTACAAATCATTTATGATTGATATGATAATGAATCATTGGTGAGGATAAATTGCAAAATTTGACAATATATGTTAAATTAATTCAAATTTAATATATTTTAATTCGGAGTGTATCTATATCACGTTTATATTTGTTACATATTTATTTACATTTTCTTTAATAGAAAATATTAATTTTATTAAAAATAGAAAATATTTAAATTATAATAAATATTTACAACCACAATCGTAAATTAAACATAAAATAAGAATATTTTTCTAAATACAAGAAAATTAACAACTTAAGATCACACAAGGATCATACAAGAAAAATGTTAAAAAATATAACCAAATAAACTTGAACAATGAATAAATACAAATATATCTGACTGCATTGGCAAATGAACAACAAAAGAGAAAAATTTATTGAAAGACCACCGACATATCTCAAATTAAAATCGAGTTATGTGAAAATACTATCCACAAACACAAATCACATATCCAAATTCAATCCGAGAGTCCAAAGCAGAAAAGATTGTCATGATAACATATAACTGTCATCTCGATTAATTGTGGCGATGTCAAATTATACTCTAAAAAATAATAGAAAACAATGGTCAAATAACAAAAAACTATCATAGAGACAAAGAAAAATGTGTCATAAAGACAGAAGAATACATGACAAAAATGTATAATTGTTAAGAAAAAAATAAAAAATAATGAATATTGACAGTTGACAACTAACACCAAGGCTAATGTCGTCGTTGATCATAAAGATGAAGAAAAAAAGAAACTAATGGGGGCTATGGAAAAAAGAAAAAAATATAACAAACATTTAGGTGGCGTTTGATTTGCTGGAATGTTTTTGAGAGAATTTAAATATGTGAAGCAATTGGAATCTGTCAGGAATTAGAATCCAATTCCATATTCTGTTTGGTTGGCAGGAAATTGAATTGGAATTTAATTCCATATTCTGTTTGGTTCGCAGACATGTCAGATGAATTTGATTTCAGTAATGTAAAATGACAGGATTGCCCTTCTTATTTTTTTTTTTTGCTTAATTTTAGTTTGTTTTATAAATTACATGTAACAATATATTATAAAAATTTAAAAAAAATTAAATTTAAATTTTATTAATTGATTATTCATTTCAGTAAATTATAAAAATCATGTTAATAAACATCATAAGTTAAAATCATCCCAATTAGGGATGGTCATCGGTCAGGTTGGGTCGGGTTTTTGGTCCACCTGACTCGACCCGAGAACAAGGGAACCTCCATCCGAGACTCGACCCGACCAAAATAAAGTTTCACCCGACCCAACCCAAATATATGAATTAGAAACTTGACCCGACCCGAAATAATAAAAAAAATATTTTTATGCAACAAAAACAGTGACTTAATTGAAAATATATATATAGGGGTATTATTGTAATTATTCCTAAATATATAAGGTAAAATTATATATTTTTTTGGGTCGAGTCGGGTAGGGTATTTTTCATCCTAAACACCAAACCCGACCCTAATATCACACTTAAAAAAATCGACCGACCCGACCAAAATAAAGTTTCACCCGACCCGACCCGAATATATGAATTAGAAACCCGACCCGACACGAAATAATAAAAAATTATTTTTATTCAATAAAAGCAATGACTTAATTGGAAAAAATTATATATAGAGGGGTATTATTGTAATTATTCCTAAATATATAAGTTGAAATTATATATATTTTCGGGTCGGGTATTTTCACCCTAAACCCGACCCGACCCGACCCGAATATCACACTTTTAAAAAACCTACCCAACCCGACCAAAATAAAGTTTCACCCGACCCGACCCGAATATATGAATTAGAAACCCGACCCGAAATTATAAAAAAAATATTTTTATTCAATATATGAATAAGTTATCAAAAGATTGATGAAAGTAGTATGGTCGAATTTCAATTCCCTCCAACAAAGGAATTGAATTTCATCATATAATAGATGAAATTCACTTTCCCTCATTTGATGGAAAGTTGAAGCCATGAGGGATTCTAATTCCCTTGGAAACTTGAATCAAATATGGAAAAATGGTGGAATTTGATTCCAATCCCCCCTAATTCTAAGGGATTCATGCGAACCAAACGCCACCTTATTTTTATAAGTTGAAAATAATCGAAAACTACCATAGAGACAGAGAAAAACGTGTCATAAAGGTAGAAAAATACGTGTCAAAAAGGCAGAATTGTTAAGAATTAAAAAAATAATGAATACAGACGGTCGACAACCAGTATCAAGATTAGTGTCGCCGTTGATCACCGAGACTACCAAGGTTATGATTATATAATTTACAAAAATAATATTCATACTTATATTTCCTCAATTTAAATCATATTCCCGATTCTTTGTTACACTGATCATTTGATTAATTGATACTATACGTATCTACATTATTTTTTATAAGTTGAAAGTATTATAAATTTAAATAAACGTTTTGATTTTAATTAACGTTCATCTCAAATATTTTCCTATGTCGAGCAAATCATGTATGGTTTATACGATGGATTTTTCCTGTGAAGTTCAAATCATTTATGGTTCGTACAATGAATTATTGGTGAGGCCAAACTCCTAAAGCAGCCAATACATGTCATATCAGTTCATTTTTATGATTATAGGCTTATTTACACAAATAATGAGAAAAAAATAAAAATATTGAAGGAAATAAGTTAAAAAATTATAGTAAAAATAATATGGTCTTCAATTAATTTTATACAAATGATTTTACTATAACACACAATGATTTAATACGAAGACGGTTTTATTTTTATCATAGCTTTTAGTTTATTTTTTTAAATAATTTCAAAATTGACTAAAATAGTTAATTTTTATATTTTTCACATTATTTCCCTAAAAGCCCCGTTTTGGTTAAACAACCCTTCGTAATGTATTTTTTTATAAAAAAACCCTTCGAAATGTTTCAAATGTAACAAACTATTTAATGGTTGAATGACACTTTAAAAGGGTATTTACATATTAATGGTTGGTTCTACGTAAATTATTTTATATATTTATATAGCTTTTTAATATATTTTGCATTTATTGTAATTTTTCATAATAAATTAATTTTAAATTTTAAATTCATTACTTATAAAATAAATTATATATCAAAAATATCTATTGGCAATCTCCGCTATCCAATAGGATTCCAATTGCAAAAGATAAGGCCGATTTTGCTGATCATTTGGCCAGCAAATTACAAGAACGAGAAGCACATGGGTGAAAGAACACCCTCGATGGACAAAAATGACAGAACGTTATATAAAATCCGTCAATCTACCCAACGTATGTAATGATATTGATAGGCATCCTCAACAATTAGTGGGCAAAACAGAGATTATTTAGTTACCTATAGTTTTTAACGTATTTATGTTTTAATACTTCAATCATAAAAATTATAATCGTATTATTAAACTTTCAAATCTAACTTGTTTAGATCATTTAACCGTTATTTTTTAACGGTGTTTAATTTTTTTAGTAAAATTTTAAAACACCCCTCTCTATAATTTTTTCAAACTTAGATTTTTAGACTCACTTTGATTCATCAATATTAGAGTGTTTTCTTTCAAATTGAGAAGTGGGGAGCTCAAGAAGGTGAAGAAAAACAATATATTTTGATTCCGTGTTAATTAAACAATGAAGATTACAGACCGAACAAAGATTTTGACTTGAATTTTGTTGAAATTGAGAAAAATTAGACTAAGAAGAAGAAAAGAAGAAAAATATTTTAATACCAAGTATATTATAAGTGATAATCGTCGACGGTCGAATTATAATAAAAAGGAATGTTAATCGTGAAGATTAATGTTGAAATTTTATGTTAACAACAGAAGTAAAAATCCCCAAAAAGTAACATTTTGGGCTAGTGTTAAAGATTTAACGCTTGAAAACTTAAATAAGCACAATTTAAAAGTTCAGTAATAAGATTGTTAAATTTTATAATTCAACGACCAAAACAAAAATATTGAGTATTAAGTAATGAAACATATAATTTACCTTTTATTTTACTTCATTCCTTTTCATTTATCAAAAAGAAAATAGCTGCAAAATTTTTCTCAGGTACACTTTTTTAAAGATTTATAATTTAAATAATCATTAATAATTGTTTTATATTTTTTATCCGTTAAATTTCTAATTATTTTTTTTATTAATATGGAGTGAGTACATGATACTATTTGTTAAAAGAACACTCTCACCTATTTGACATTAAACACTTATAGCTCTGGCAATATTGATAATCGAACCCAAGACCTTAATGAATAACAATAATTTTTTTATTGCCGAGATCACTTTGTTCGTGCTTTATTTCTAATTATTTTTTGTATGTATGGTGTTCTTTTATTTTATTCAATAAATCTTTTTCTTTCTTCTAAAATAATCTAAAATGGTGGATTTTTTTATTTGCTCTTGTAGCATAATTTTTCTTTTTTCACAGTTAGTTTTTTTGTCCTCTATCCAATTGACGTTTATTTGATTATTTTATTAATTACTTTATACTTAAATTGATTATTTCATATTGATAAATGATCACAATCACTAAAAATATATTATATTTAAGTTTTGCTAAAGTCCGTGTTTGTCATGTTTTTTATTATTTAGTGTCGATGATGCTTATTTTTCACAACCGATATTGATGTTGTTTATATTTTAATTCCAAATTGTTTGATTGAAATTTTTTACTGTTTTCTTTATATGATCTTATTTTTATTATTTAATCATTATTTTTTACGATTTTAAGGAAAATAATGTTTTAATATAGTTACTTTATTTAAATTGTATGCGAACTTAAATATTTTGATAAATTCGAATAATTTTTCAAATTCAGATATTAAACTTATTGTGAGAGAATGAAGACCTTGTAACTAATTAACATTTTGTAGGTATAAATAGGGATCGAGGCAAACACCAAGCCGCACAACCAAAACACATAAACTTCCACCGTAGCATGCAATGGCAGCTAAATTTCCCATCAACTTTTCGGAGCATTTCTTACATTTCTCGTGTTCCAGCCTTCCTAGTGAATTCGAGACCCATAACACTCGAATCTCTTCGAAATCACGAGCAAGACCGGAGAAGAAGCAGCGGTAGCCCCGATGACATCGGCCGACCAACTTTCGATGGCTTGTTTCATTTTGATGCCAACCACACCCTTTCCAGTGGGAGATGGTACCACTCCCCGTTGACCTATGGTTTCACATCCACTTCCTCCATGCCCCCGAATCTGAATTCCAACGTGGTTGTTGCCGTCATCGATGCGGCATTCCGAAAATGGCAAGGTGCTGTCCCTGAGTTCGCGTTCCAAAGGATATACCCAGGCGAGAACGCCGATATCAAGATTTCGTTTACTACACTGGACCCTAAGAATTATGGTTTTGGTTATTATCCACCTGATGGGAGGCTTTACCTTGATATTGACCACACGATTTGGAGCACTAAATCTTACCCTGCAGGTAGGAATGGACCAAGGGATGGTTTGAGAGTGCGGTCGTTGTCATGAAATTTTCAAATTTCATATAAATTATATATATTTTTATTGATAATTTATTTTCGTTTCTATAACATAAAATTTTGCATATATTTCTGTATGTAGGAAACGAGCTGGATTTGATGTCTGGAGCCATGCATGAAATAGGGCACACGCTCGGCCTTGAGCACAGTAGTGATCGAACTGCAGTCATGTATCCTTATCTTGATTATGGAACTAACAAAAGGGAGCTTAGCCAAGAGGACATCTATGTAGTACAGTCTTTATACTACACTTCCCTGTCGCACCTTGAGTTAGCTAAATCTATATAGCTAATTTCAAGACCTTGGGAAGCTTGATTTTATCTTATTAAATAAGTGATTATCACATTTAAAATTATTATAATAAGAAGTGAAGTATAAGCGTAAAGCTTTTGTAATTGCATGTGCTAATCAATTATCGTATAATACATAAATTAAAATGGATTATTATCTTTTAATAAGGAGGAAAATTTCTTTTCTTTTATAAATGGCTTTAATCCACAATCATACGCCAAGCTAAAAATTAAAATATTAAATTAATAATACATGGTGGTATTAAAAGATTTAAATTGTTTAACTCAATCACAATAATGAAAATATTGAAGTATGGTATTTTATTACTAATCGTAACATTGTGATTTTATGATAAAGACGCGAATAATTTGTATACGAATAAATTTAGATGATGTTTTATTAGAGATCTGTATTCCACCTTCACTAAATTCTCCTATTGGCTTCGAATATTCCTGTTCTAGCTTTTCCACGCTAAATTTATTTTGATATTTTAAAATTTAGGTAAACTATGCATTTAGTACATAAACAATCAGTTTTGATCCGTTTTTAGTATTTAAACTTTAATTTTTTCAAATCATACCAAGAGTTTAGTTTTTGTTTCATTTAGTACTCAGTCGTTAAATTTTGAAAAAAAAAATGAAAGTCTAGGTGCCAAAACACGTTTAGTACCTAAATCATACTTAAGTTTTGATTTTTTTAAAAAAAATTAGGTACTAAAACGGATCAAAACTGATAGTTTAAGTATTAAACGTGTTAAGTTTTTAACGATGGAGTATTAAAATGAAACAAAAAGTAAAATTTAGGTATGATTTTAAAAATTGAAAGTTTAAGTATTAAAACGGATCAAAACTGATAGTTTAGGTACTAAATGCATAATTTACCCTAAAATTTATATAACAAATTTATTCCTATTAACTTATAGAAATAATTGTATCATATGTCTTCAAATTCATATTATTATTTTAAAATTGTTCATAAATTTTGCACGAACCAAGCGATCTTAATAGTTAAGGGATTTGTAGTTATCCATTGAGTCATGAGTCCAAGCACTGCCTATAAAGTGGTATAAACCTTTTATTGTCAAAGTGCTAGAAATCTTTGAACATTTATTATCTTGTATTAATTCTAAATTTATAAAAAAATAGTCCATAAATTTTTGAATGTTTTAATTCTATCTCCATACTATGTCTCTCGTTCTAAATTAGTTCTTAAACTTTTGAACGTTTTAATTTCATCATCAAACTATGACTCTCATTCTAGATTGGTCCTTAAACTTTTGAACATTTTAATTTCTTTACAAACTATCGAAATGCACTGATCATATCCCTTGTTAATAGAACTATTAGATCAAGGTATATTATTATATATTTGGAAAAAAGATAAAATTTAGGATAACTTATGGTTGAAACTAATTACATATTTGGGTGAATTTGAGGATGAAATTGGAAGATTAAAAAGTTTGAAGACTAATTTAGATAGATGATCACAATTTAAGGATAAACTTAAAAAAATTAAGGACTAATTTAAAAACATGTGATACAATTAATTTAATTAAACAATGATCAAATAAATTCTAGATAACATGTTATTTCAACTGAATATATATTAACAAACCAATAAAATTTTTAAATTCTTAAACTATAACCATGAAAAGTTTAAAATCTATAACATAATATATTTGAAAGAGACAAATTTTTAATTTTGTTTATATCACACGTATTGATTCTTCCAACTCAGGAAACAGTTTAATAGTTGAATTATTGTATATTTTTTTATAATATTTTGTAAGTTGACAAAATTACAAGGCATTGTTGAAAGGCATATGCGCATACACTTCTTCATTAAAAACAAAATTTCAAAATAAAAATTGCGTCAAAGCGCAATCTGATTGAGTATTTAAAGGTTACACGTTATGTTATTAATGTCATAATCTATATTATTAACCTTTTTTTATATAATAAGTTGTCATGTAAAAATGACTTTTTTAGAGAAGTAATAATTTTTTTTAAAAAAATAGAGGCATCTAAAATTTATTTATGTATTTGAATTATTTTTAAAAAATTGGACCAAAACATTCAATGTTATATAAAGTCGTTTGAAAGACGATTTTACATGAAACTATCTACTTTAATTTGTTTCTTTAATTACCTTTCTTATTATTTCCTTAAACAAACTTCCAAAAATATCATATAATATTTATAATAATCACATCTTAATCATTGATATATTTAATATTCAGGAGATCACATCAGAATACCTTAATTTGGTGCATCATCACGTCGTGGAGCTCTTCACAAACTCCGTTCTTTTATTGATTTCATATAAACTATAAATCTAATCACTACTATATACTTATACACACACATTTGTTATTCGGTAATTTCTTTTTCTTGTTTATACTAAAAATGTCTACAGTCTCCGATGATCCGATAGTAGAAACCGATCACCATGAGGAAGTTTCCGATCAGCGGCAGAACTTATTTGACAAGTTAAGCAGGATCGATTCCCTGGACGTGGAGTCCGCCAAGGTTCTAGACCGCCATGGCCGCGCTTCTCGGGTCTGCAAACACAGCATTTTAGTTAATCTAATTCATCGTTTTATATGTACATACATAATACTTTGGGATTGTTGTTATAATTTTAAAGGCTTGGGGGTGGTCGGCGATACTGCAACTGGCCTTTCAGAGCTTAGGAGTAATATATGGGGATATCGGGACATCGCCGCTATACGTATATGCGAGTACTTTCACGGACGGGATAAAGCACGGCGATGACATATTAGGGGTTCTCTCTTTGATATTCTACACTATCACTCTCATTCCTCTTACCAAATACGTTTCATTGTCTTGAAAGCCAATGATAATGGCGAAGGTAATTTTCACATTTAGAATTTCAACTGCATGCATCCATCTGCAGAAGCTATGGATTATATTTTTATATATAATTAAACTTATTAAGTTCGTACCAACTCACGTAAAATCATGCGTTATAGTTAACCTAACATGAATTATATATGCATGGGTACCTGCAGGAGGAACGTTTGCTTTGTATTCGTTGATATGCCGATATGCAAAGGTGGGTTTGATCCCGAGTCAACAAGCTGAGGACGCTGATGTATCGAATTTTCAGCTGGATTTGCCTACCAAACGCCTTAAACGAGCTTCAAAACTCAAGTCCACGTTGGAGAATAGCAACTTTGCCAAAATTTTCCTTCTCATCATCACTATGCTCGGTACTTCCATGGTCATCGGCGATGGCGTCCTCACTCCTTGCATCTCAGGTTTACGAAAACTCCACCACCAATAGATCAAACAATAAACATATATATATATATATATATATATCTTCAATGCTTTCAAGTTCATAAACTAGTTTTAAAAAGTTATTTATGTTCTATAATTTGCAGTTTTATCAGCCGTGGGAGGAATCAGGGAAGCAAAATCTTCTCTATCAGAAGGCACGATTGTTTGGACATCTGCAGCTATCTTGGTTTGCCTCTTCATGGTTCAAAGATTTGGGACCGACAAAGTCGGCTACACCTTCGCTCCGATCATTTGTATTTGGTTCGCATTCATTGGGGGGATTGGGGTTTACAACTTCATCAAATTCGATCCAACGGTGGTGAAGGCCATAAACCCCAACTACATTGTAGATTACTTCAAGAGAAACAAAAAGGATGCATGGGTTTCCCTTGGTGGCGTCGTTCTTGCCATAACAGGTTCTGATTCAACATTTTTGCTCCATATAACCCCCTTTAAAACGTGCTTTTTTAGTGAAGGAAATTTACACCTCCATGCAGGAACCGAAGCAATGTTTGCTGATGTAGGCCATTTCACGGTTCGATCCGTACAAATAAGCATGTGCACGGTGACCTATCCAGCTCTAATACTAGCATACACCGGGCAAGCTTCTTTCCTTCGTAAACATGAAGATTTAGTGTCGGATACCTTCTACAAGTCAATTCCAAGTAAACCCTAAACTTTAAACCTTAAATTCGATAACATCGTGTCTAATGCCTTGCTTCGTTGCAGATGGTATATATTGGCCGATGTTCGTGATCGCTGTGGCAGCTGCAATAATAGCAAGTCAAGCAATGATTTCAGGGACTTTCTCTATAATCCAACAATCACTCGCCTTGGGGTGTTTCCCTCGAGTCAAAGTTGTGCACACTTCCACCAAATACGAAGGACAAGTTTACATTCCCGAGGTTAATTACCTCTTGATGTTGGCTTGTGTTGCGGTCACCGCTGGTTTCAGGACGACTCAAAAGATCGGCAATGCATATGGTAATCCCCCAACACTTTGATGATATGCGGTAACGTTGTTGTACATCGATCGATTCTGAAATTAATCGTCATAGAACAGGGATCGCCGTGGTATTCGTAATGACTTTGACATCATCTTTGTTGGTTCTAATAATGATAATGATATGGAAAACCAGCATACTTTTGATAATCGCATATGTTATCGTCATCGGTTCCGTGGAGCTGCTCTATTTGAGTTCGGTCCTGTATAAATTCGACCAAGGAGGGTACTTGCCGTTGGCCTTTGCGGCGTTTATAGTTACTGTGATGTGTATTTGGAGCAACGTGTATCAAAGAAAGTACCATTACGAGCTTGACCACAAGGTTTCCCCTCAAAAGTTCAAGGAGATAGCTACGAACACATGTTTCAGCCGAATCCCCGGACTTGCCATGTTTTACTCGGAGCTCGTCCACGGCATTCCGCCTATCTTCAAGCATTATTTGGAAAACGTATCCGCGTTGCACTCGGTACTCGTCTTCGTCTCGATCAAATCATTACCCATCAGCAAGGTTCCGGTCGAGGAAAGGTTTCGTTTCCGAAGAGTAGAGCCGAGAGAGCTTTATGTCTTCCGCTGCGCTGCTCGATATGGGTACACAGACGTGCACAATGAGGGAGACGGTTTCGAAATCAGTTTGCTGGAAAAATTGAAAGAGTTTATCAAAGAAGACACTTTGTTAAACATCAATGATCGTGGTCCAAAGGAAGACCAGGATGCCGAGAGAAAGACGATATCGCATCGGAAAACGGTGAAAACATGAATGAAAATGGAGGAGAAATAAGTAGTAATGGGTGGTTAGAAGATGTTGAAATGGTGGAGAAAGCAAGGGAAGCTGGAGTGGTTCACTTGGTTGGTGAAAACGAAGTGATTGCAGTGAAAGGTGCGGGTATAGGGAAGAAGATTTTGATCAATTATGCTTATAATTTCATAAAGAGGAATTTGAGGCAAACTGATAAAGTGTTTGAAATCCCTCACAAGCGTTTGCTTAAAGTTGGGATGACTTATGAGCTATAGAGAAGCGTGAGATGTCATGGGATATATGATTAAGTGATTTCCTCCATTGAACATCTGAAAAAAGCTTGTTATATTTTGTAGTTACCCCTGTTGTTTAGTCTATGAAGGAAGAAACAACAGTGTACGAGAATAAAATGAACTCACAAATGGGCCACGTCCCATTCCTATTGATTTCATCCCACTAAAACCCAAACTCCGGTAGTTTTTGTTACGTCAGTTTCCAAAACTATTATTTGGGTAAACACTGGTAGTCACTAATCTTTTAAGATACTTTTTATTTTGATGACATAATTTTAATTAAATCTAATTATATTTCAAGGAAAAACTTGTCAAACTACTTATATTATTTATTTCAATTCGTCGAAAATCCTTTAAATCTGTTTAAATTACAATGGAAAATTAAAAATTATAACATCTTAACGACAGCAAATAATAGCAGCTATAATAAAAACAAAATAAAAAAGTAATGACTGTAATTCAAGTTTTAAAATTTGATGATTAAAGGAAAAATGCATTAAACTAAAAAACAATACATTCTATTTTACTATTACCTGTAACGATTGTTTTTCCTTCAAATTTTTTAGTCATTCTCAATCATCGATTAAATTATTGAGATATTACCTTTATAAAATTAGAAAAATAATTTTTTAAAAATAAGATATTACCCCAAAAAATTTCCTGAATAAAAATATTAAATTGTATTTTTTTGTTCGAAAATGGAGGTAAAAAAAAACACTGCCTACATTTCCTAAAATAGGATTGTCCAAAGGCAACACAAGACAGTCAGACAAGGCCGCTTTGGTAGTTTAGCCCTTGTATCAAAACTTACATGCGAACGCGCGTGGTCTCAACTCTCATAAATCGAACCCAACACAAGCGTTAATCTTCGTTCGCTCTCTTTTCTTTTAAATTAACAGCAAAAAAGAAGAAGGAGAAGAAAAAAACTAGAGAGAATTTCTTCTTTGCTCTATTGTTGTTATTTCTCCCTCTGCAAGTTCAACTTTCATTTCGTATTCATGAAAGTTAATCCCTCTTTTACAAGGTAACCAAGACCTCTCTACTTTTTCCTGTCTGTTCTTTTCTTTATTTTTGTAGTTTTACTTGTGGTAAAAAAAGAGTAAAAAAGAAGAAGAGTTAAGTGAATCGAGGTTTATACTTGTATAACGATGAAAACCCACTTTTTCCAGGTTGGTTTTGCTACGTGGAATTTAGCTTGGAGTTCTTTCCATGGAGGTTAGCTATATGTTTTAGAAATAAAGATTCCTTCTTTTTTGCATGTTTATTATTTATATACATTTGTTACCAACTGCTCATCGGTTAATCTCTTTTTTCTTACTGTTTTGTCTAATTGTTCAGTTCGCTATGTGTTTGATCAAAGGAGATTGCGTGTTTATTTTTTTTCGCTGAGATAATGGACATGTTTTCCAGATCTTTTTACTGCGTACACTCTTATGTTTCAATGAGATTGTCCGAATTTGACGAATTGAAAGCTTTGTGCCTTGGCAGATGAATGTCGGTTACTACTTGGTTTTGGTTCTTTCTGTTGATAATTTAGATTAGTAGAAATGTAAATGTTATTTATTTCAATTGCAGCCGTGAGGTTTCATGATTTAGGTTTAATTTTATATATCTTTTGGATGCAATTTCATGAGACGATATTATGATGTATTTTTGCTCAATTCTTTAGCTGATGGACACCACTTTTTTGGATAATGACATGGAGGGAATTGATTATGAACCATCTGAAAAATCACTTGCTTCATGTTCCTTTTCGGATGAAATTTCCGGAGATCCACAGCTGATTCCTCGTGTCGGAGATCAATACCAAGCAGAAATTCCACCTCTAGTTGGAGAATGTTGGAGTTTAGAGGTTTTAAAGCAACCAATCGATTCAAAAACCGAAATGAATGTGCCAAACCCTTTTCCAATGGGATTGTGTATCCATCTTTTCTGGACAAAGGCTGAAGCTGAAAGCATAAATGGTGCATTTGAATCTGGAAACAGTGAAGAGAGCCACATTACTTTGAGTCATGGATGTGCAGAATATAAAGTTGAAAGTCCTACGACGGCTAATAGGAAAGACATGAAAGAGAATTGTAAGCTTCAATCTACAACTGGAAATAAGATGGATGCTGAATTACACTTCCCCGAGGAGCCAAATTCTAAGCTGAAGGTGGATAGAGGTACTTGTCCACTTCCAGGGTCTTCGAGTGAAGTATGGAAGGATATTGAACTTGATAGTATTCTTCTTGGGCTATACATCTTCGGAAAAAATCTAATCCTTGTGAAAAAATTTGCTGAGAGTAAAGGGATGGGAGAGATATTGTCTTTCTATTATGGAAAATTTTACAAGTCCGCTGGATATCGGAGATGGTCAGAATGGCAAAAGTTGAGAAGCAGGCTGTGCGTTCATGGACAAAAGCTGTTCACAGGGTGGAGGCAACATGAACTATTATCTCGGTTATTTTCTTATATTTCAAAAGAATGTGAAGATATGTTGCTTGAGGTATTTTCCTGACTTTTCTATACTCAAAACCTACGCAATAGATCTTTCCAGTATTGCTGTTGACTGTTACCTACCTATCAAGAACATCTCTCGGAGTCTACTTACTTTTGAACATGATTTTGCAGCTGTATTTGGTCTATATTTTTTCAGAGAAAATTATTTCACCATGATGTTTTATGAATTCTGATTGTTGTAGGTTTCTAAGACATTTGGGGAGGGAAAAGTAACATTTGAGGAATACGTATTCGCTATAAAGAACACAGTAGGCATTGGTATGCTCATAGAAGCCATAGGCATTGGCAAAGGAAAGCTAGACCTCACTGGCAATGCTATGGAGCCAATAAAAGTGAATCATGTAGTTTCTTTCCATCCCGAGATACCAGTTGGCAAAGCTTGTTCTAGTCTTACATCAGCAGAGATTATCAAGTTCCTAACTGGAGGTTTTAGGTTGAGCAAAGCTAGATCGAACGATCTTTTCTGGGAAGCTGTTTGGCCTCGACTTTTAGCTAGGGGTTGGCACTCTGAACAGCCCAAAGATCAGGCTTTTTCTGGTTTAAAGAATTCTCTGGTGTTCCTGGTACCTGGTGTTAAGAAGTTTTCGAGGAGGAGATTAGTGAAAGGTGACCATTATTTTGATTCCGTTAGTGACGTTCTTAATAAAGTTGCATCAGAACCGGGGCTTCTTGAGCTTGAAATTGAAGGGCCGAAAGGCAGCGGAGAGGACCTAGAAAATAAGTTGGACCCAGTAATAAAACAAGATCCTAATTTTAATTCTACAAAAGAAAAACGTAGTTGTTACCTCAAGCCACAAAAATCTAGCTGCAATCCAGATCTAATGAAGTTTACAATTATAGATACTAGTTTATCCAACAGGGTTGAACGATCCAGAGTTAGAGAGCTAAGAAGCTTACCTCTTGTAGCTAGTAACTTATCCACCCCTTCTAGTATTTCCATTGATTCTGAGGAGGATACATCGGATGACTCTGAAGATGAAGAGGAAGAAACAAGTACTACGAATGCTGCAGTGGCCCTAGCTAATGGGGGAGAATGTCTTGACATAACAAATTGTGTAAATAGTAGCTCAAATACCGTTATTCCCCACACCTCTGAAATAAGCATTATATCAGTGGAAAATCGAGAAATGCACAACAGAAGCCTTCTTCATGACGAGGAAGAAAAGTTTAAGAAGTATAATTTCAGCCAAAAGGTGCCGTCTAGTGATTCGAAACATTTGGTTCCTGTTACTAAACAGCAGGTGTTAACTGACTGTATCAATGGAGAATTAAGCTGTAGTGTTGAAAACATTTTGGTTGACAGGATGTTAAATGAAGACATTTCGCACTGTAGGTCTAACTTGCCTGATGCCTGTGAAGATACGGTTTTTCAAACGGGACCACAAAACTTGTCACCCTCGAGTTCTTTGTCTGAAGGCAGTCCTGATCAGAGAAAGGAAGGCATTTTCTCTGAAAGCTACCTGCATGAAGAAGGATCTCTGACAAGACTCGGCCACATACATTGATAGACTTAAACATCCCTCAAGTTTCATTGGGTTTTGGAACCGATGGACCCTTCATCTCAGAGACGGTGTAAAATAGTTACAATTCTTGTTCACAGATATCATTCTTTCAGTCTGAAATAACAGTGCAGCCGAATTCAAAGATTCCTGATAAAGTTGCGGAGGTCAACCAGCAACCTACAATGCAAAACCGGCGGCAGAGTACTAGGAATCGACCGTTAACCACAAAAGCTTTAGAAGCTATTGGGTGTGGGTTCTTCAATCCCAAAAAGAAGCGAGAGCCTGCAGAGGCTTCCCAGAATAACTCACGAAGAGTTCGTTTTAGGCCACATGTTAGTGCCCTTTTTAGAAACGGTGCTAATAATTCCAGCATGGGGGAAACTTAGGATGGTTTCTGCAGTGCAAAAAAAAAAGCCAGTCACTCGCATCAGAATACGATACATCAAGAAACGAGCCGGAGAATTGCAATATACAAAGCTGTTCCGAAGCATTGTGTTTTCGGGTGATTACTGATTTTGATTTTTTTCCTAGTCAATCATTGGGAGGGCAAATGTTTCCTTAAATCCATGAGGATGACACTAACCTCCATTCCCCCAACTCACTGCAGATTCGTGACCATTATCCGGTGAAAGAAGTTTGAAGTTCCGAACATGTTCATCTTGTACATAAGTCGGATGAAACCGATGTTGATCTGATTTGGGGTTATAATCACAGAAAGAAGGGCCTTTTCCAGCCTAGAAGCAATTAACACAGGTGGTTCTTATTTCTTACTGCCTTATTGATAATTTGACTTGCAAACAGTGCCAACCTTTAATGTTGGACTCTTGACAAAGATGACTGCCCTTTTTCCAGTTAATTTTCTGTTTCTCTATAAAACCATGTTTTAGTTATCAGAAAACGGTGTGTTGAACTTGAAGACATGGTCAAATGCAGGAGGGACCATTTATGCAAATACAAAGAGCCCTTGGGTCCATTTCCATTCTGAGCCAAGAGCTTAGCTTTGGTCATTTTCTAGCTGAGTTCTTTATTTTCCTCGCATGGATAAGACTTGAGGGACCTCACTTTCATGAGGCCGGTGGTGAATTGATGATGATGTTAATCATTAATTTAATGCTTTAATTGCTTTGCCAGTCTAGTTAAATAATGCTTTTCTTTAGATTTATGTTTAATGAGTCAAAAAGGTGTTGAATTACTAAGGTCTTTTGTTTTCTCCCTCCAACAATCCTCCCATTGATTGACATGAATTTGAACCAAAATTTGTATGGGTTTTTAGGGAAAATGAAAAACATGATGTAAATTATCAAAAAATGCTTTAAGAAAGTCCTGTCGTAGACGAGGCTCTTTGATATTTTGTTTAAGGGTATTGAGTTCTTAATCATTCAATCTAACATCCTTGGCTAATAATAAACTTATAAATCAAGTATTTTAAATTGGATACATTATTTTAAAGGTTATTTCGTACCCATTTTACTATTGAGCTTAAGGACGCTTTAATTATAATATTGAAATTTAATTTTGACTTTAATATAAGTATTGAATTATTAAATCATTAATGACGTGGTTGTTTTCTCATGAATTTTAATTTGTATACTATTAAACTTTAAACGTTTCATTTTTATGCACTAAATTTTAATTTGTGTATCATTTTAGTCTATGTTAGAAAATCGTTAAATTTTTTTGATGTCATTATTGATCAATTGTTACTCGTCATCGGTCATTATTTACAATAATATCAGTATCGAAACGTTTGTATTTTACCCCTCTTTCTTCTCTTCAAGTTGGTTGTACACAGAATTTACTCAAAATCGATAAAAATTCATCTAAAGGTTCGATGTTCAAATACTTTGATCTCCTCTAATGATCGGAATATGAGACTATTTTTGAAGTATGTTATTTATCTTCTCGAAAGAAGGCTTCTAGCATTTGATTTTTCAAACAAACACCAATTCCTTAAATCCGAAAAAAATCCCTAAACCTACAAAAAAGATAGATTTTCTAATGTTTAAAGAGTTTTTGAAAAAAAAATCCAAATCGACAAAATAGTAGAAGATGATAAGTTAAATTTATCAGTGTCTAGGGTGATTGCAAAAGATATAAAATGGTGATTTTTGACAATTGCTAAAGTTTAAAGAAAAAAACTTAACTTCGATGAAAATGACATAGAACAAAAAATAGATTAAAATTTTATTTGTTGACTTCTATTTAGAATTAAAGTGACACATCATTCGTCTGTGAATGAATTAACGAAAAAAACCTAAAATAAAATTTAGTATTACAATTGAATTGATTTAAAATTTGAGAATAAAATTCATTCTAAACATAAATCTATTAAATTATATATAGGGAGGGGGGGAGGAAAGCTAAGTTGATGCATTTAAAACCAATCAATTATCAATAGTAATGCTTTTGTTCATCTTCAAAACGCGTCCATTTCAACAAACAATATAATACTCATTAGTGTTCATTCGCCTCGATCAAACCTCACTTTCATGTGAGAAAAATATTTAAAAACCAAAGAGAAACAATAAAAAGAATACAATGCCATGTCTGTCTCTGTGTTGGTTGTACGCACGAGGGTTACTTAGCTAATGTCAACTAGCAATCTGTTTCCTTCTAAATCGTTTCAGCATCTGTTGCATTCCAGCCTCTGAAATGCTGCTTAGTCTTGTCCTTTATAATGCAATGAAATAAACATCAGTGTCTTCACATTGTTGTGTTCATATGCGTTTCCTTTCATGAATTACATCGATCTGCCATCAATGATAACCGAGCAACTTCGATTTGTTTTTGGAAGAAATGTAGTTGGCGATGGAGATGTAGCAGATGCTTGTAAAAATGGTTGTTATTATTATTGTTATTCTGAAATATGATATTGGCCATAGTTTTATAACTTTGCCAATGGTTTCAGAATTCTTCTGTCTCTTTGTTGTTTCTCTTTCTATAGCCGAGTTTTTTCTATATATATTTATTAAAAATCCGTATTATTTTAAATAAAATAACTAAAATAATATGATGATGTGGCCGGTTTTATGTTGATGTATATTGTATTTTGAATGCTATTTTCTTTCCTTCTTTTCCTCCTCACAAAGATGTATCTCTTAAAATTTCATCTATGCTTTATCCAACATCATAATTATATTTCCTCGACATATTTTTTGATCATTCAAGACACCAACGAGTTTATATCATTATTCACGTTCATTTTATTAATTTATATTTTCTTAAAATATATTTAAAACTCACAAAATTTAACGTGAAATTAAAACTTACAAAATCACAAATCAATCTAATCTACAATATTCATTGTCCGATCAACATACATCAGGATATATGGTTCGTTTCCACCTTCACTGCCTTCTCCACCGTTGGAATTGGGAAGGAGATGCGCCATCGTAAAAAAATCAAAAGAAGTTCGAAATCAATATTTTTCACAAGAAAATAAGAAAGCTTTGGGGCATTTTCATAGTTTTCAAAAAATATATAGCCAATCATAATACCATTAATTATTTAATAATAAAGTGATAAAATTAGGACAAATCATAAATTTAATGATTAAATTGGGAAAAAATAAGTTTAGAAATCAAAACAGGAATATGATTAAAGTTGAAATTGTGAAATTTATAATTTACCCTAAGTTTTATATTTAAACTTTTTCCTTATAACATTATTAGACAATTACGAGGAGAATTTGGGTAGAACCATCGAAATTTATAAGCTTAGAGAATGTCATCTTATCAAAGTTTCTTGGAGTAATATATGAAACTAATTTTTATTTTCCCATGAATTATAAAGAAAATACAGGTGGAACGTGGAAAATTTTACTAGTTAGAAAAGGTCAAAAATCTAAAAGAAAATATGGGTAATGCAATTTACCATAGGTGTCCTGCATGTAGAAGGGGCATAATATACCTAGAAAACAAATCAGCAACCCATCTTTAATATGATTAAATCATGCAGAAGAAGCTGTAACTATACTGAATAGTTAACATCGACCGAGACAAACATGATTAATTAGCAAATACATCCTTCACATGATAACTTTCTTACATTTTTCCTTTTTAGCTTTATAGTTTAGGATTTAGGGATCACGGTTGATAGAGATTATAGTTTCTTTAAAAAAATTAAATTATCGTATATTTTTTTGGTACATTGAGTAATATAACTACATCATAGCCTACAGTCTTAGAGTGGCTAATCCTCTAGTATCAGCTCGTAAAAAATGAACAATTTCCTTCGGAGGGTTGGTAAGGATTTGAGTTCCCTCCTCTCTTTCAAGAGCCATTATAGCCAAACGGTCGGCGCATCTATTCCCTTCGCGCCAAGTATGACGGATCTCGATGACTCATCCTTCCTTGCAGATTTCCACGCAGTCTTTAACAAGAGCTTCTTCATGCAGGGCTTCCGTTTCACCCTTGATTAAAGCTTCCACGACCCATTTAGCATCAGCTTCAATTATCAATCTTTCCGCTGATTTATATAGGGGTCCAATGATCATGTTACTTCAAGATCTGTCTGATCTCTAGATCAAAAGTACTGCTTGTTCTTTATGCAGGAGAGACAGCTTTATCACACACAGAGCTTTCTGTGATGCATTAGCCGAAGAGAACAACAAGGTTAACCATGCAGCACCGATGAACAATATCGGATCATCGAACTTACAAAACCAAATGCCGGAGTTGATGCCATCAATGCTAATGGGCAATGCCAATGCATCTATGGAAATGTCTGATTTTAACAACTTTAGTGCCGATGCCGTTTAAGTCCATGAACATGGGAGGAGGCATGTTTTCGAGTAGCTCAGGCAGTCTATTCGGCGGTCCTGGAAGCATTTCCTCGTATCAGCACTCGAGCTTACAACTTAGCTCGAATAGTTCATCTAGCTTCAATTATTTACAGGACAGCATAAGTGGGTGCAACCGCAAGTAATAGTATAAACTCACCCATGATGCAAAAAAGCTTTGCTAGTGGCATGGAAGGCCCCGATCAATTGATTAGACCTCCGTCGTTTAACGGGCTTCGGCAGCAAAACACATCTTACGATCAGTTCCAGTCACACACCGATCATCATGCGACCATGGTCAGGATGATTTCTAACTCGTTCATGCAAAAATCACCAGACGAAATGGCACAACTTTTCAATGTCACCACAGGAGCAATGACTGATATGGAAATGTTCACCACCACCAACATGTTCATTAATGGAGCAGAACGATACCAAGGCTTGATGAACAACATGGAACTCGGAGGTAATAGTGATGGGTTGCAGTCAACGGAAAGGAACTCGACAGTGCCGCCGATATTCCGAGAAAGCAGCGGAGGAAGTAACATGACGACCCTCGATTTCATGGGGATCGAGGGTCAAGGCTTACCAATTTGCATGAAAAACACCTTCAACAACATCGATTGCCAATGCAAAATCCTTTCCAACAACAGCTCCCACATGATGGGGATTCAGCCGTTGAAAAGCCCATCCGGGATGCCTGAGAGCTACAGCTTTTGCCATGAAGATCATCTTGTTCTTGTATGGTGGACAAAGCTGACGTGGCCACTTTGGGATTAACTACCAGATAGGGTTCAAAGGGTCCACTCCCCATCTGAAGGATCTCCCATTTGTTGTCACCAAATAACCAGGTTGCCCTCCACTCCTGGAAGAAGACGAAGACTCCTTTTGTCGTGTATGATACAAGCCGCAGCAAATTTGTGTTTGGAAACAAGAAGAAAGGCTGATGACAAGTCATTGGAACATGAAAAATGTTCTCCACGTGCTCCATATTTGCACATTTGAATATGAAAAAGAAGAAAGTTTCAAATCAAGTGCTTGAACCTTAGCTCTTATGTTTATCATTGTCAAGTCGTAGGAATTGTACATTTATTTCATCTTACCTAATTCCTAGTAAAGACTTATCGTTTCACAAAAATAATAAGGAAGAGAAAAGCATTTAGAAAGATTTCAGAACTGTATATTTTCATTGAAAAAGTATCCCGCTCACATCTAAAGAGTAGCTTATTTATACAGCTAACCAGTCGGTTAATTACATCCTAGAAACTCTAACAACTTATAACCAACCCTTAACAAACTCACGCTGGACGTGAAGTTATTAATCACGCGAGACATCAGCAAAGCCAAGGTAATACAAGACCATACTCTAACATAAAGTACATAAAAGGTTATTAAATTATGTTAAAATAGTTATTTTAGTCACTGAAATTGCAAAAGTTATAATTATTAAATTTATTGAATTGTTATAAAATGGACATTGCGATGCTATAAAAATTGTAAAAGTTTGATAAAAAATTTAATGACAATTTGCAACAGTTCAATAAAATTTAATGATCATTTTATAATAGTTTGATAAATTGTAATGATCATCTTATAACATTTGATAAATTTAATGACTATTTTGTAATGTTTGACAAATTTCATGACCAAACTAATCATTTAAGCATAGTTTAGTGACCTATAATATATTTTACTCTTTTTATTAAGCCAAATATAATTATTAGATCTACTATAGGTTGGTTAAATTATGATTTTGGTCGTTTATAATGTTTAGATTTGAGATTTAGTTATTATATTTTAATTTAACATAAGTTGGTCGGTCTATTTTTTTAATGTAAGTAATCAATCTAAACATGGTTGAATTGAGGGGTGAGATCGCACTTTTAAAATTTTAATTTTAATATAATTTAAGTATTTTTATATTTTTATTGGTTATTTAATTTTGCACTATTGAATCTTAATAATTTCAAATCCCCTAAAATTATAATATAACATCCTAAGTTCTCACCCTCCACTTGACATCCTTCTTTATTGTCATTCAATTATATCAGTCATTACTTATCTTGGTTTAATTTACAACATCCACCATCTAATCAACGTGAAATCAAAATATATTACTCTCTTCGTCTTATAGTTTATATCTCATATTGACTATGCATATAGTTTTAAAAGATATATTTAATCAAGAAAAATGATAAAAATATACTTAAAAAATAGTTGATAAATTATTCTTTAGCAATAAGTTTAAAGGGTTTTTTTTATATGAACTTAAAAGATTCAAACAACGTTCGACACTTAATGTCCGAGAGACAACAAATAATATAAAAAGTAGATAAAGTAAAAAAAAATTGAGTGACCAAAATGAAATAAATTAACAGTTTAGTGACTGTATTCGTAGTTTACCCTGTATATATAAATATCATCTCTTATTACTTGCTACTGTGTAGAGGAAGGATGAAACCAGAACCCAAAATTTCTTCAAATCAAAGCCCAAAGCTTTTGAGCACCAAAGTAGCGAAGGGGAAACGTGGGGAGGTCAAAGCTCAAAAAGGGCTAAACTTTTCAATTGGGGTCGAAATTTAATTATTTCCAAACAAATTATCGCCCTCTTTTCTTAATTCTTTTGACTGCCTTCATTCAACCATTCGTCCACTACATAATTACGCCCCCCAATCATCTTTTCCGACTCGATTCTTCTTTAGCAATAAGTTTAGGGTTTCTTTAATTTGTCTGCTTTCCGATCGTATTTCCGGTACGCTATTTCTGATTATTTTCAATAATTTTTTGTCTGATCGATTGATTTTCAGTACTTCTCGACCAATTTTAGGCTTTTTTATAAATCTGTTTTGCTTGATCGATTATTTGAGTATGTTTTATTTGTGGGTATCGTATCGTTTGAGCTGACATTGTGTAGAAATTATATTTTTTGCTCAGTTGGTAGTGTTTTTCGTCCATGTTTGACCTTCATCTTTTGATATATTGTTATTCGGTTCATCTATATGTAAGGCTGGATTATTTGTTTGCCAATATTGATGCTAGGGTTTCACTGTTCGATTTTCCATGGTTTTCCGTCAATGCTAGGGATTTTATAGGTTTTAACTTGAAATCTTTGCTCCACTCTTAGGACAATGGAGCGCAAGACCATTGAGTTGGATCAGGGATGGGATTATATGCATAAGGGGATCACGAAGCTGAAGAGGATATTGGAAGGACTGCCGGAGCCTCCATTTAGCTCAGAAGAATATATGATGCTTTATACGTATTCCTCAGTACTTGTTTTCAAGTTTTGCTGATTTTTTTTAGCTGCTTATTATCTTTAGTTATCTGGTCTCTTGATCCCCATCATCTTTCCTTAATTGAAACTACTATAGGACCATCTACAACATGTGTACTCAAAAGCCACCTCATGATTATTCTCAACAGCTTTATGATAAGTACCGTGAGTCATTTGAAGAATATATTACTTCATCGGTAAGGAATTTGGTGTTATTGTGGATACTTTTCTAAATTCAGTTTTAATAGCTTTCTCGAACAGAAAATGAAGGCTATTTATTTACTTTTGTGTGTATTTTTCTCATATTTCCTCCTTTTATGAAATCAGGTATTGCCATCTTTGAGAGAGAAGCATGATGAGTTCATGCTGAGGGAGCTTGTTAAAAGATGGGCAAACCATAAAGTAATGGTCAGATGGCTATCACGATTCTTCCATTACCTTGATCGCTACTTCATTACCCGGAGATCTCTCCCTGCACTTAATGAAGTTGGGCTGACCTGCTTCCGTGATCTGGTTTGTTATTAGTTCTTCAAAGGACACCTTTATACAGTACCGATTCTGCTTTGATGAGTTGGATTTTGAGAGTTAGCTGCTTATTATTTCCAATATAATTTTTATTAACTATATATATATATATATTACTCATTTCAGGTATATCAGGAAGTTTATGAAAAAGTCAGAGATGCTGTAATTGCCCTTGTAAGTTTGCATCACCATGTCATGGTTAACTGTATTTAGTTCACATTTTGAATATAAAACTTAAAAGGAATGGTTACTTCATATCAGATTGATAAAGAACGTGAGGGAGAGCAGATAGACCGAGCACTACTGAAGAATGTCTTAGATATTTTTGTTGAGATTGGCATGGGACAAATGGATCGTTATGAGGATGATTTTGAAGGAGCCATGCTTCAGGATACTGGTGCTTACTATTCACGGAAAGCATCAAGCTGGATTGAAGAGGATTCTTGTCCAGATTACATGTTGAAGGCAAGTGTCAAAGTTTTCCTGCGTTTTTTTCATAGGTTATAAGATTTTTACCCTGATTGACACAGATGGTTATGATAGCTTTTATTTTAATGCTAATTGCAGTCTGAAGAATGCCTGAAGAAGGAAAGGGACAGAGTGTCTCACTACCTGCATTCAAGCAGCGAGACAAAATTGTCAGAGGTCAGTAGAATGTTTGGAAATTTATAGGTTAATGGAGAGCTTTTTCTGTGAGCTTAATTTGGCTTGAAGGGTGCACTTACTCTTTTAGAGAATCTGCTTAATTGTCCACCATAAGAGGGGACATAAAATGAATAATTTTTTATGTGTGATAGTTGTCACTAAGATTTTACAATAAAAGTTATGTGAATTCTCTTTAGGTGGCATATATATTAAATTGAGATTTCACGTTTTCAACCTATTTAATGACATGGAATAGTGTAATCAGAATTAACATAGAGTTCCTTTGAAGACAATTCTATCATTTATAGATCATTCTATTAATAGTTATTTATTATGTTACTAGAAAGTGCAACATGAGTTGTTGGTCGTTTATGCAAACCGGCTGCTTGAAAAGGAACACTCAGGATGCAGGGCCTTGCTTAGAGATGACAAGGTATTGTTCAACACCGTTTCTTTGCTAGCAAGGCATGGCTTCTAGCTGTTTGATTTAACAAATATATATATATATATATATATCAGATACTTATTTGACTTTGTTTACACTATCTAGGTGGAGGATCTTTCTAGAATGTATAGGCTTTATTGTAAAATACCCAAAGGCTTGGATCCTGTTGCCAATATATTCAAGCAGGTCTGAATTTTCTGTTTATTCTATTCTGCAAGATCAATGGCCATCATTCTTTTGTTATTCTATGATTTTACTGAACCTTTCTGAGTGTCTTTCTTTTGCAGCATATTACTGCTGAAGGTAACGCCTTGGTTCAACAAGTTGAAGATGCAGCAAGTAACCAGGTTAGTTAGATAATTCATGAAGATTTTTTCTGGATAGAATTCTCTCTCTAGGGGTGAAATTATTTTCTTCTAACTAATAGAGGATTGCATGAGCAGTATTTAAGTATATCAGTTAGGTCTTGTGGGTTTTTATCTACATCTGTTACTATGGTTTTGCAGTTCTCTTAATGGTGTAGTTTTATATACCTCTTTTACTTACCAACTTCTAACTTTCCCTTGTTATCTCTCTCTGGTGGGAAAGGTGAAAAATCCCTACAACTACAGACTAATATTTCCCCACCATCAAGATAAAAAAATAGATGATAATTTATTGTTTCTAATGCTCACATATTTCTTGTTTAAGTGCTAATACTTGTTCATTTCCACAGGCCTCAAGTGCTTCAGGTGTACAGGAACAGGTAAATATCCCAACTTTTATTGCTATGGATTCTCTCGAAGTCGGCATAAATGTTGAAAATTTGTATGCTATTATCAGGTCCTTATCAGGAAAATAATTGAGCTTCATGATAAGTATATGGCATACGTGACCGAATGTTTTCAAAACCATACTCTCTTTCACAAGGTTAGTGTTGTAAATTGTAGTCCTAACTGTCTACTATGGATCATGTCCCATCATTTCCCCTGACCCAAGTTTTATTGAAATGTCCACAGGCCTTGAAAGAGGCGTTTGAGGTATTCTGCAATAAAACTGTTACTGGCAGCTCAAGTGCAGAGCTTTTGGCTACTTTCTGTGATAATATCCTTAAGAAGGGTGGAAGTGAGAAATTAAGTGATGAAGCCATTGAAGAGACACTTGAGAAGGTAGCTTATCAATTTTAATTTTAATTTGTGGTGATATGAAATTGATTCTGAACTATCTGTTTGTTTTCTATAGGTAGTTAAACTACTTGCATATATTAGTGATAAAGACCTTTTTGCTGAATTCTACAGGTGAGGCTATTAACTTTTTTTGTCAATTAGTTTCATATAATTTGTCAAGAATGGAAAAAAACCAGTAATGGTGTAACTTTTCATGTTTCATTTTGATCCTACCTTTACGATGTGCAATCATTGACAGGAAGAAGCTTGCTCGCCGATTACTTTTTGATCGTAGTGCTAATGATGATCATGAAAGGAGCATTCTGACTAAGCTAAAGCAGCAATGTGGTGGGCAGTTCACCTCAAAGATGGAGGGCATGGTGAGTTGGCCTGTTTTTCTGTAGTTTAATATTTGTCTGCTTTGATTTTTTTTTCTAAAAATTTTGTGATGAAACTTGTGTTCTGCCTTTCTAACAGGTCACGGATCTGACACTGGCAAGGGAAAACCAAGCCAGCTTTGAGGACTATCTGAGGAATAATGCAGCTGCACATCCTGGGATTGATTTAACAGTTACTGTTCTTACTACAGGTTTCTGGCCAAGTTATAAATCTTTTGATCTCAATCTCCCTTCTGAGATGGTAATGATTTCAAACATTATTATTTGCATGATGACAGTAATAAATATCTTTCTTCACAATTTGGTTGGAAGTTTTATTTATATTTAGGAATATCATTGTTTCAGGTAAAGTGCGTGGAAGTTTTCAAAGGATTTTATGAAACAAAAACAAAACACAGAAAGCTTACGTGGATATACTCGTTGGGTACTTGTCACATTAATGGAAAGTTTGAACAAAAAAACATTGAACTGATTGTTTCAACATACCAGGTAAACAGACTCCTGAACTCTGCACACTTTAAAGTAAAAAAGAAAAAATATTATGTGGTTTTGATTCATGTCTGTCTCTTTATGGTCTTCGATGGTAGAATCTAATCTCCAGTTGCCTATGTAAACAGGCTGCTGTCCTTCTGCTCTTCAATGCTTCTGATCGTCTGAGCTATTCAGAGATTATGGCTCAGTTGAATTTGACCCATGATGACTTGGTTAGATTGCTACATTCGCTGTCGTGTGCCAAGTATAAGATTCTATGTAAAGAGCCAAACACAAAAACCATCTCCCAGAGTGACTACTTCGAGTTCAATTCCAAGTTCACTGACAAGTTGAGGAGGATTAAGGTCTGTAACTGTCTTGCGGCTCCTCTCTTTTACATTATTATTGCCTTTAATATCTATTTGTATGACAAGATTATAACTTTGTATGTCATCCTACGCAGATTCCTCTCCCACCTGTGGATGAAAGGAAGAGAGTGGTTGAAGATGTTGATAAAGATCGTCGTTATGCCATTGATGCTGCAATCGTGCGCATAATGAAGAGTAGAAAGGTTTTAGGCCACCAACAATTAGTGTCAGAATGTGTTGAGCAGTTGAGTCACATGTTCAAGGTATTAAATATATGCCAACCCTATTTATCCATAGTCATATTAGTAATAAATTAGAAAGTTTATTTTTAGTAATAAAGTAATCAAACATTCGGAATTCGCAGCCTGATATTAAAGCCATCAAGAAGAGGATAGAAGATCTCATCACAAGAGACTATCTGGAGAGAGACAAGGAGAATCCTAACACATTTAGGTACTTGGCCTAAAATTTGGTGAGTTTTTTTGCAAATGGGGATTTGTTTTAAATGATAAGTTGAGTACCAGGTGTATGTAAAGTTGAAGAAAGTTTTAGTACTGAAATTTGGTTAATGTTTCACTCTAAATGTTGAGTATTATATGAGTAGACCTTCGTTTTCCAAGGAACCCTAAAGTTTCAGTCTGATTTTTGATCTCTTCGTATTCATCGGCTACACATGAGTATGAAACAAATGAGCTGGGAATCCCACAATATGTTAAGGAACCCTTCTATCTCGTTTACTTTTTGTACCAGATGGTTTTAAATTGGAGTTAATAAAGTGTACCGAGACTTTTGTTTAACAATGGAATATATGATCTTGTAAGAAATCTATAAAATGTTAAGACTTACATTCCAGGGTGCGTCTTCTAATTTTAATTATGTAGTTGAAGTTTTAAAATTGTATCTATCAAGGGGACCATAAAATTTGAAAAATAACCAAATTGAACTGCCCTTTTACATAAACTTATGTCTATTATTGTCAATATGGGATCTTTGAACATAATGTCTTGTATCTCTTGGTATCATAAGCAAAACAATATTTTTTTATTGCCTCATGACTAAGTGCTTTACTCCTTTAATTAACTCGAAATCAATATAATTGTATTTTAATTTTAATTTATCAATAGTTCATTTATCCAATATTTGGATAGTTTTTAAACCCATTTTTGGAAAGATGTACTCTTTTCTACGCATCAACATTTCAAACAAAAATAATAATTAAAAAATTAATTAAATCAAGAACTAATAATGTAGAAAACAATTTAATACTCCAAAGACTTAACATTACCTTATTTCCTTTAGTTCTGGTGCTTTGAATAGTAAGTGTGAATAATAACATAAAAAATGTTTGAGCATGTGAAAAAGATAAATAGAAGTAGAGTAAAAAACATTCAAGTATTCAATGATCAGAACAGTCATTTAAACACAGTTTAATGACATCTAGTGTACAACCTATATATATATTATTTTGCAACCGAAATAATAATAATAATAATAATAACAGCTCCAATTTTATTGATCAGAGTTGAAATAAATGTCATTGCTATGCTATACACAGAAAAAGGCAGTAAGAAGTTAAAAAGGTTCAAAATTGTGTATTATAAATGACACCTTGAGTTGCATATAGACAGTTTTGCAGTGAAATAGCAACAATAATGAAACAAAACGTAAGACCAAGTCACGATTTTGCTACAATAGTTTGATCATAACCAGCTTCGCTGCTTATGCAACTGCACATATTGTTCAACCTGAAACCAAATCATATTCTTAAATTAGCACTCAGCAAAGTGCACAACGGGCGAAAGAATAGATTCAAAACGGTACATACTACAAACATGATAAGTAAATGATATTATATTTTTCAAAATTCTCATGATAAGTAAATTCCTTAACGTATATTCAGAAAAAAGAACAATAATGGCCTCTGGAACATAAATATATACACAGACAACAAGAATGTTGGAAACAATGGTATGCCAAAATATTAAACAATAAAAAGCGAAGAGCATACCAAGCTTTAAAGGGAAGATAAGAAAATAAAGAACTCCATCAACCTTCTTTGGATCTCTAGCACCAACGATTTTTATTTTTTCGGTATATTTTCTCTCAAGTATATACAATGACATGCACTACAACAGCTGACCTGCACATACACGAACAATGAAGGTGACACTTAAAGAAAACAGAAAAGGAAATAAAATTGACTTTATACGTCGGATTTTAATTTTTATAGCAGGATGAATCAAGTGTAGCAAACCTGCAACTGCCAACTACAGTGCTCTGCTTCATAGTGCCTGAACTGAGAAAACGCATGCTGCTGCATATACCAGTGTTGTCCTAGACAGGTCTCTAACTAATAGTATGGATAAATTAAGGTCAGGTGAACTAGAACTGACACTGGCGAGCGATGAGACCAAAATTCTACTCCACCTCAATCTACAATGGCCATCTCTATCTTTACACAATTATTTCTTCAACCAAAATTCTTTTTTAGTGTAATTTTATACAGCTTGGAGCGATCTTGCATATAAACCTTATAAATCACATATCCTCGATGGAAATTAAAGCTTGTTCCATGTCAGAAAGCAGTTGAAGCAAGTGAAAATGTATACTGATAATCCCAGATCCGTCTTGTATAGCACACATGTACAGCGAGTATTAGGAAACAAGCACTTGCAAGCTTGGAAGTGTTCAGGATCGAAGCAGGAAGAACTAACCAACCCCTCTTCCTATTCCGATCTAGATCATCATGGCCAAGGGGAAAACCATCAAAAAATATTTCCTCCCAGTATACAATCATCCTTACCACCCAGATTTTTTCCTTAATGGCTAATGGCTTCCATTGCCACTCGTATCAAATGTAACACTCCCTCCAAGTCTTGGAAGCTAAAATCAAGAGCTTTCTTCACAGAAGATATAGCCTCCCCACTTTTAGCCCCTCCCAAACTTGAACTGGCAGCTGCAAGAGAAGCTCGTGATTTCCTTGAAGCTTCCATTGCATAATTTACATCCTGTGCCTGAAAGTTATCACATTGATTTTAGTTGCTATAAGTCTCTAAAATTAAATATACACACCATAGAGCACAAAATGGCATGATACATTACAGTAAGAAAGAAATAAAAATAATAAGTTATCCAAAAAAAATAAAGCTAATATACACAGCTAACGGAAATAACCACAAAAGTCGGTGCTAATGCATAAAGCTGCTAGGATACATGCAATTTCAACATACAGTAACAAGAAGCCCGTAACAGCTTCTACGCATTAGAACCAAAAGAAAATTAATTGTAGGGATAAAGGTGTACATTTGTTTTTTGTTATTTATTTTATTTTTTTCGTGGTGGTGGGGGGGATGGGTGAATACTGCCCTGACTCCCGTTCTATATAAAAATACATGAATTAGACTTTCACAATTATATACAAGGGAAGTTACACTTACAAAATTGAGTAACCGAATATATTTAGGGCGGTTTCGAGCAGAAATAACATGACTTTCGGAAGCCTGGAAAGAATTAACACCTTTTGGAAAAGCAGCCTTGTCTGCTAATGTTGGTTGGTTTAAATTATCAACATCAGAAGCAGGAGATTCACCTGATATGAAACCATCACCAAGGTCAAGAAACTAAGTTAAAATGAACTGTCAGTTTGTCCCAATCAATGGGATATTAACTAACATTAGTCATAAAGAATCTAATCCATAAAGAAAAATAACAAAAGAAAATGGTGATTAAAAAGATGTGGCCTGTGGGAGACCTAGAGACTGATGAGTATGCATGCTAGGAAATATCTATGTGCATGCATGCATACCAACAAGGACAATATCCATTTTGTAAAACCAAGTAAATGTTGCATGTCAAATGTGAACTAGAACACTGGTGATTTACAGACTCAAGTGCTCCACCTGAAACAGAAGAATAAATAAGTAAATCTGTGTGAATGAGAAAGACAACCCAAGCAACATGAGTAACAGAAAGACACTGTCTGAAGATTCTCAGATGTCAAGATGCCAAAGAACAAATTCACAATATCTAAGCAAGTAACCTAACCATCCATGCAGTGCAGTTAGCTTCAACCATGCTTCTAACAAGCAACTGTCAGGTCTTTTCACAAATAAAGCAACCAGAGATAATAGACTGCTGCTCCTAGATCACTAAGTGGTAGAACCAGTAAACAACAATTTAATTTTATATGCTACACAGACTAACAGGAAGGGTTTCAACTACTATAATGACGGTTCTTTGAATTACCAGGAGGAACCATTTGTAAAGCTGCCTGCAACTCATGCCGATCTCTACTTGCATTGGCATGACAGGAATAGATAACTCTCATATAAGCGACCTCCATACACTTGTAGGCCAAAGAAGCAGCAGCCATGTCCTTCAATCTCGCATATTCATGGGCACAAAACCTAAATATTGATTGGTAAACAAACAGAAATAAAATCAAGTACCAGAAAAAATGAAACCATCCAAATAAATTGCAACAGAAGATTTCCATGTTGCGGGAATTTTTTCAACTAATACAAGATCAAGCTCCAACAAACGTACGGCAACTTAGGATTACAAAAGCAAGAGAACACAAACCAGAGCGCCTAATATTTTACTTACTCACAGAGTTTTGCAGTACTACTATAAATTTGCACTGAATGCAACATCTCGCCATGTTTGGTACTCTCATTGTTGCAAGATTCTAGTAGAGAAGCACTATGAAGAAACTTAAGTGCTGCCTGGAAGTAAAGTACTGTGCTCTCCCCATTTGATCCAGAACTCTGAGGGAATGTTTAAAATTTATTTCAAAAAATGCTAGGCTGGTACAAAGGGAAAAATACAACAATAAGCTAAATAAAACAAGGCAAAACCTTCACACGATCAGCCAGGTGCTTTAAATCTTTAGCCTCCTTCAAAGCATTGTTAGCTGCCTGACTTGAGGAATCCTTTCTCATTGGACTTGGGGCTCCAACATCCCTGATACGTCCACTTGTTGTAGTATCTCTTGAACTATTCTGCTGACTCCCACTTTGATGATCAACTTTCTTTTTTATTTGTTTCTGTACCTTGAATGCATCATGAGCTTGAGATCCATCAGCTCCATTTCCCTTTTGGGACCCAGAAACCGTATTAGGATGATGAGTCAGCATCTCATTTCGAGTTCCTCCGGAGGGTGGTAGTGATAGCGGCTTCCTTCCCTCAGAAGCAATTTCTGCATGATCAGAGTTTTCAGAGTGAAACCGCTTTGTATATTCTTCACTACCCCTGCCCTGAAAAAGATTCTGCTTCACAGTAGACATTACATCTTGACCTCCAGTGGCAACTGGTTTGGCATCTGACTGACCGTTTGATTGATTCTCTCTTTTACCAATCTCACCAGACAATTTTCCCAAAGATTTTTTATTTTCAGCAAATCTATTCCCAATTTCATTAGACTTTTCTCCAGGCCTCTCTTGAAAGTGATTTCTACCATCCCTAGGTTTTACGTCATATGAAGGCATATGAACTGGCTGTACATCAACTGAACCAGATTTAAAATTATGACTCCCGTCTTTTGGCCACGAGGACCCTTTGCCTGACTTTCTCGAATGAGAGACATTGGCATTGCTACAGTTTTCATTCTGAGTTTCCTCATCATGGTGATCATTTATCGTCGTTGACTTACCAGAAAATTGGGCCTCTTGGCCTCCTAAATAATCATCAGTATCATTCATAAAATGCCTTTTTCCAGTGTCAGGGGAAGGCTTAATCGGTGCCTTAGCTTTACTGCCACCTGATTGATCACCAAACTTATCCTGAATATCAAGTAAGGAGGGCTCAAGGGACCCATGTTGAGCTGCAGCTGAAGTATTTTCCTTCCTTACAGTCCCTGACTTATCACTCCCACCATCATCTTCACCATCTGAACATCTTCTTGGACTATCTGAAACAAAAAGGCCAGCATCATAATACTCATCTTTCCCTGCAACATTTCTCGTTAATGGAAGTTTATCAGGATTAAGAATTCTCATAGGAGATGAGGAAACTGATTCTACTGATGAGCCTTTTGTTTCACGGAAGCCAAGTTTTGATTTATGTGAACAAGAAACCTTAGATGAGCTTGAGGTAGCTACTAAAGAAGGCTGGGCAGATCCAGAATCCCTTTTCAATGAATCCATACCATCTAATCTTTGTTGAGACAGAGAGCTAACTAGATCTTGCCCACTTAGGTGCTTCTGCGTATGTTTACCTTTTTTCTCTAGTTTTCCACTGCTTTTACTTGCAGAAGAATCCTTCCCTCCTGATTTAGATACCCTGGCCTTCTTTTCCTTCCTGCTGTCATTCTCACTGAACTCTTCCTTTACAAGTACTCTGCTACCCTGGAGGTGATTACTCGCCCGTTCATCAACTTTCCTCTTTCTTGAAACTTCAACACCATCAAAATTCATCGGATCCAATGATCCATCAGTTAAGGAAACCTGAAGTTTATCATTTACTCTTTTACCGGATACTTGTTGCCTGTCCTTATCCATCTTTGAATCCTCAAAAGAAAAATGTTGACAGTGTTTAGGCTGATCCTTTCCTACCGATGTGCTAGGCCCACCCTTGCCAGCATGGTCAAACATCCAATCTTCGCCAGAAAGATGCAAAGTTTCATCCTTTATTTTCTTGGGGGCCCTTAAAGAATCTTGATCAGTGATCCTTTTGCCTTTCATCTTTGAAGTTTTGGTATCACCTATTTGCATGTTTTATAAAAACAACACATCACATAATTTAAAAAATAAGTTTTTCAATTACAATAAGTACAAGCTTAAAAGAATACCTCCATCAGAACCGTGTTCTGACAATTTATGCTTCTCTTTCTGATTATTTTTGTGTTTCTCAACAGGAAAATCACATTTGATTAGAGGCTTTAGAGCCAGCTCATCAACAACAGGAGATTGAGTCACATCAGTCATGCTTCCAGATCGGATTGATGACTGCGTGTTCTTCTTCATAGATTTTGCCTCATCTTTATCCATTGCATTTGATATTTCTTTTAAACCGTGTTTCTTCCTTCCACCAGTGAGAACAGAATGTGAACCAAGACTGAGTTGGTTTTGGTCAGGTTGCAGGGCATCTGATGAGGCTGATATAGACATATTATTGACAGGATTACTTGGAAGATTTGTTTGACTCTCTGCAACAGGAACATGATACAATGCAAAAACAGCTTTTGTAGTTTCTTCCTCCTCAACACTGCAACGATTCATTGCAGGCCTAAACATTTATAGGACAAAAAGTTTTGAGATTTTAGCAAGGGAGAAGAGATATATTGCCACAATTCATCACAAAGGTTAACTATCAACATCTCTGGTCTCGTGTTCGTCAATCTAACAAAGTTTTTACAACCATTAATAACATTCATAAAAAATTTAGAAGCGGTAATGACAAAGAACTTACAACCAGTTAAGCATGCTGCACAACCACTTCTCAGGTAACTCAGATGGATTTATGTTTATTGGGAGAAGACGCCACTTCTGACACTTATCACAACAAACCCAATTTTCTTTTATCAATACAGGAGCAGCAGTTGCAAGGGAAGGTCCAGCAATATTCACATCTGCTGAGTTGGAATGTGCACCCATAGTTGCTCTGGGGCACGATTCATTTACCAATACACCCTCAGTTTTGTTAGCACTTAGTATATCACTATGTCCATTGATAATGGCTGATGTGCTTTTTTCAATCTTATCAACTATCTTCGGCCAATCTTCAGGAAGAATTTCCAAATAACTTGATTGGTTCTCTTCACGTTCTGATTCTCCAATATCTCCAAAAACATCCATATCTCCAGCCTTTTGAAATGACCTGTCAGATTTTTTGCCTCCTGTTTCCCTTTTGTTCGTAGAACTGCTCACATGAGCAGTCTGCTTACCATTCAGCACCAAAGACGAACCCACCCTCAAGCTTTCTTTTGCTCCCTCTGCATCTGGACTGCCATTACTGTGACTACCTTTTGATTTTCTTTTTCCACCAGACGAGGCATGTTCCTTTGCAGAAGGCAACTTCATAGTGTCTTGTTCTTGTGAAGTCACTCTCTGGATGACCTTCTGATTGAGAGGATCTACCACTTCACTATCTAGAGCTTTGCTACCTTTGAGAGTATTAGAGTCAGCTTTGATAGAATCATAAGTTTCGTCTGCTTTATTATACCCACTTTTTCTGACATAGCCTGAAATATCACCCAAAGGACTTGTCTTTTGTTCCTCCAAAACCTTTAGAGCTGAAACAGCCCTTGGACTCTCCCAGCCAATCTCTTGGATAAGTTTTGGCTCCACAGACTCCTCAGCTACATCATGGAAACCTTTGTTTCTTTCTATGCCCTTACTTTTTACCTTGGCAACAACAGAATATGAATCAGACAAGAGAGGAAGCTTCAACGTTTTTGAAACAAGCTCCTCACAAGCCAATACGTTGACATTTACTTCCTTCTTTGACACAGCAACATTGTCATTCCTCATATCCCTGTTACTGCTACACTTCCTTTCTGCTGTAATATCCTTTTTCTCCTCCAACTTCGATTTTTTGTTTCCTAACAATATTCCGTCACCCTTTCCAGAATCAGATATATTCTCTTTCAGAATCTTTTCCTTTACGATCAAGTTAAGTAGATGATCAGGGAGAGGTGATAGTAGAGCCTCACCAGCTAGTGGGAAGGAAGTCATAAACTGCTCAAAATATTCAGAAAAAATATATATTCAGATCACTTTGGGTACATCAAATGCAAGAAACAAGAAAATAAACATTCTTTTTATTAGAAGAATAAAACAATTGTAGATAGAAGATTTACTCGAAGAATACTGGTCGGAGATTCAAACAATGCCTCTTGAGTCTCCCGATAAATCCCTTCACTTCCTGAAGGGCTCTCATCTAATGAGGAAGATGGTGAGACACCAAGGCCAAGACCACTGTAGATTGCAGCATTCTTTTGTGTCGACAAGTTATCTGACCCCACTTTGATTCGCACCTTCAATATTTTCTGGTCTGCCATATTGGCAGCTTTCTTATTTGCAGATTCATGCCTGGAGGCAAGCTCATCAGCACCACCAGGAGTTACACTAACCTCTTGTTCAATTGAATCATTCGCAGACGATGCCTTCAAAGCAGGGAGGGTTTCAAAATTAATAGGTGGTGGTCCAGCCTTCCGTAACTGTGAACCACTTGCCCAAGACGCCATATTTTTTGGAGATATGGATGGATTGCAGCTCTGACCTGGTGGACTCTTTGGATGAGGCCAACTAGGAGAACGTGTATAAGTCGGTAAGAATGATCCATAACCACCAAACTTTGCCCCTGGGCAATGTCAAAACTTCCAAAATAATCAATTTAAATTTATAAACTCCAATCTATGGTGACTCTTAACCTCATTAGAACATGATTCTCTTATTGTTTTGACTTACCTAGATTCTCTGCAGAAACTCCACCTTCAAAATCTTTTTGAAGATGTCCAAGAACATGTTGAAGTTTTTCATCCTTCAAACACATTACAGTAACCACATATCACTAAGTGATCACAAAACCAATGGAAGGAACTAAGAACAAGTATCAGACAAGTAATAAGATATTTAGAAAGGATAAAGTACTGCATTTTAGAGTTAGTGCCTAATCTTCTAGAAGCACTACAGTAACTCCATATGCTAATGAATGTGCTTGAATCTTACTCTCCCTGTTTCCAATTATAAAATCCCCAGCATAACAGTCAAGAATACCATCATTAATCATCATTAACCTTACATGGAAATTTGCGAATAAAGCTTTCTCAACTAGACAGGCGTACAATACTCCAGTTTACACCCAACAACTCAAAAATTCACAAAACCCGTTAATACACGACATTAAAAAAGCTTCATACATGACTGGATTAGACATAACAACTGAAAACAATTATCTTCCCTTAATTAAAAACCACTAAATATCCCCATCATGAACTAAACAATAATCCAAATATTTGAATGAAAAACCAAAATACCAGTCGTCCAGTCCATATATTATATTTCTAAAAGCAGCACAATTTAGCAGTAAACACATCTAAATTGAAGTTCCAATATCCAACATTGCAATTAAACAATAACAATCTAAACTTTGAAACTAAAACTCAACCAAAAAAGTCAACACAATATAATTAAACATTAGTGAAAAGGGAAAGCCAAGCTAAACGGTTAAGAAAAAAAAGGAGAGCAAGAATTTCTTACTATGTAAGCTAGAGAAGATAGATCAGCTTCAGGGTCAGTGGAGGCATCATAATCATTGTTATTGTTATTATAGGAGCAAGCCTCTCCTTTCTCAAGCTCAGCCTCTTCCATTTTTCTTCCACCAAACCCTAGCCCTAGCCCCATCCTCGCATCGTCACTCCCTAACGAAATCATTCAACGACAAAATTCAAATATAAAGCTAAATCTCACCCCCCAAATTACCAAGTTCTAAAACGTAATTTTCTTTTATTCCAAGCCCAAATGTTTCTCCCAAACATTATCCACAACCCCTAAAATCCACCAAAGGGAAAGACGGGTTTAACCCTAATTTCGACCAAAAACCAAAACTCGATCACGAAGCCCGAAGACCTAACCGAAACTTCAAAACGGTTTAATTTCCAGAAGGAAAAAAGATGGCTATTTGAACAAAAGGGATCCCGGGAAATTTTGTTGTTGATTTAGTGTTTCTGTTTTTGGGATTCTTTGATTTGTTCTATTCTGTTTCGATCTCATTAGCTGGAATTTGATAGCGCAGGGAGGGAGAGGAAAGAGAGAGACTCTCTCGGGTCTTTGTTGTACACGGCGATTTATATTTACTTACTATATTTGTGAAGTTAATTCGTGTTTTTAATAGTATTTTCTAGGGGTAAGTGTGTTCATGACCGAATTTTAATTTAATTAGGATTAAGAGTAATATTTTATTTTTGGCACGTTTTTTTCCCCTATATTTCGGTACGTTTTTTCCCCTATATTTCAGTACGTTTTTTTTATCTTCTTTATTAATAGTTAGATAATTTTTTTCTCGTCATAATAGATTTGATGATGACTAATTAAGATGATATTTATTTATTATCTGTTGGTCTTTTCTATTTTAAACATTCGAATTAGATTTAGATACGTAGTTACGTTCGTGGATAGTTTTTTCATATCATTCCACTGTGATATGTTATTTGTCGGTGATCTTTTAGTAGTTTTGATCTTTTTTATTTATTTGGTGATGTAATAAGATATATTGACATTTATCTTTATACGAGTTTTTAATTAGGTTTTTAATTTTTTGCTTACAAGATGTATTGACATTTATCTTTATACGAGTTTTTAATTAGGTTTTTAATTTTTTGCTTACGTGATCTTTGTATGATCTCAAATAATTAAGTTTATAGTTATGTTTATAAACATTTATTGTAATTATGGATATTTTTAAATAAATAAAAAGAGTTTGAAAGAGAAATCTATGCTTAATTAATATTTATTTATTTATTTAAATTTTTAATGATGCTTTCATTAACTGAAACTAGCATAATAAGTAATTACATCATAAATACAATTAGGAACAATGTTATCGAAATATAAAGGTCAAGAAGTAGTTGAAATAAAGTTAGTCAATGCATGATTTGCACCATTGCATTCACGTCGAAATAACGATCAGTTATCCGCGGGTGAGAATCAAGTAATCGTCGCGCCTTAGCTAGGTAGAATCGAAGAACAAAACGATCAACAACATGATTTTTCAGTTGACGAACTACGTTAAAGGAATCGCTCTCAATAATAATACGTGGAAACTCCATTTCTACTGTCATGCAAACTACATGGCAAAGAGCGTGGGCTTCAATTTGAGCAAAATTACGCGAGCAACAGAGGGGAAGAGCAAAAGTGCACAGCCAGCCACTACGGAACCATAACTGTCCCTCGCAACAATCCCTATTGTAGGTGAACCAAGAAATTGCGGACATGCACCATTAACGTTTATTTTAACAGTGTGTCAGTCTGGTTTTCCCAACATGTATGCAGTAAAGAAGTTGAAGATGTATGCGCAGGCGGTGAAACACTTTTAGCAACAAGATATGCAGTTTGGAGAGTTTCACCAATAGCAATAAGGTGCCAATCAAGTAATAATTACGAGTCATGGAATAAAATATTCTACCGGTGCCATAGTTTCCACAGAAGAACCATCAGTATGGTGAAATGGAGAATAGACATCGAAATTATAAGGTTCTCCATCCATACACCAAATGAATCAAAACTTCGATCATTCTCGGCAAAAATAAGGATTAACTGGATTGTAAGGAAATAACTCAATGTATGAGATACACTTTTAATAAGTGAGCCATATAAACAACATCGTCCATTTGAGACCCTAATACATAATAACGGACAACCAATCGGAAGCACCTCATGTGCCGTTTGTCATTCGAACAATCCAATTTGAGCCACATAGATACCTAGTCATACTACTTTAATTATGTAGAATGATTAAAATGATTAAAAATTTAGTAATCAAATTTAAATATTTTAAAGTTAGTAAAAAAAATACAGTCAAAGTTGATTGATGGAATTTATAATTTACCCTAAATTATCAATTATTAATATTTATCACTATACATTAATAAAGAAATAAAGGCAGCTAAAAAAATGCCCCAAACCCAGATGTACGGTATTAGAGAGAAAGGGGGAGGTAGAGAGTGTAGAGAGAGAGAGAGTACAAAAACAAAAGCTCAAATACATGGAGAACTAAGAATCTATATCTCTCCTGCCTGCTCATTGTTTCTCAGCTTACTTCCACCATCGATCGACCTTTCTACGATCATTCTAGAAGCTTCCATTGTTCTGTGTAGAATTTCCATTTCTATTTTTTTTTGTGTAGTCGGTAAGGCATTCAGAAGTAACAGAACCCGCCCCCCAAACAAAAATAGAACCCGTTTCGATGGAGTTGTACGGTCGCATCCCGACACGGAATGGGTCGCAATCGGTTCATCGGCCCGAATGGAGTCCTGCTGGTCCCGGAACTGGCTTGGAAGGTATTTCCCGTTTATGGTTTTTCCCGGTTTTCTACCCGCATTGTACCGATATCACTTCGCTAAAGCTTATTTTTATATAGAGATTTAGGGCTTTTACCATGCGGGAGTGAATTAGGCGTTTGATTAGTATTACTTTGGTGTAATGCAGAATCGATGTGGCAAATGTCGTCGAGGGGTACGGAATCGTACCCGGAACGGCCCGGAGTACCTGATTGTGTTTACTACATGCGAACCGGTCTATGCGGGTATGGTAGTAGGTGCCGTTACAATCACCCTCAAAACCGTGCTGCCGTAAGCGTAAAATCCTTTTATCATTTGCTTCCACAAATTGGGTTTCCTTTTGATTAATTGATTTCGTTTGCACTGTTTGTTTCTTTACATTTAACTTGTACTGGTTAATGGAATAGAATGAAGAATATTTATTGACGCTGTTGCATTTGACTGTTGGAAGCGACAGATGGTGTGTAACTAAGTGAACTTAATTTAACAATTTCATGTTGACTATAAAAGTACAAAATGCAGCAGTAGGAATCAGGAACTTATCACAGTAGTAGTGGATAAATGAAGCAAATTTCCCCAGTTATATGCCGCAACAATTAATGCAAGAATTTGATGCTTATAACTCATAGGGACATTGATATAGATAATATTTCTAATTTGGTATTTCTCTCAAAATAGAGACTGAATACTTCAATTTACAAGTTATGATTGACACCCTCTGTTCCGGATTTAAACAAATTGCCTGCAACTTATGTCTATGTGAGTTTCTTCATCATCTTCTCTAAAACCTGTAATATAAGCAGCCATTCTCTTATACTAGTTCTTAATGATCTGTCAGATGTCTGGGCTGATTACTTTTTTCCTCTTGTACTTGGCTTTAAGCCTCTTGTCAGAGTTTAGTTACACATATTTATTTGGTTGTGATGCCATTTAGGTTGAGGCTGCCGTAAGAGCTACAGGGGAGTACCCTGAACGACCAGGGGAACCTGCCTGCCAGGTAAACAAAAAAAACATTTATGGAAAAAATGCAAAATTTTTGTTAATGAATCAACCCTTTTGTTAATTAATGCTGCAAAAAAATTATTTATTTTCCTAACTTGTGCTTTTGTGGTGGTAGCAGTTTTATTTAAAAACTGGGACTTGTAAATTTGGTGCATCCTGTAAGTTTCACCATCCAAAAAACGGAGGTGGATCCTTTAGCCATGTTCCACTGAATATCTATGGATATCCATTACGACCGGTTTGGATGATATATTTTCTTTCTCAATTTGTATATATCCATTTGAGTATTCTTAAAAACATCCAGAATCAGTTTGATATGCATTTATTAACAGGGTGAGGAAGAATGCTCCTATTATTTGAAAATGGGGCAATGCAAATTTGGTGTTACTTGTAAATTCCATCATCCTCAGCCAGCTGGTACATCAATGCCAGCATCTGCACCTCAATTTTATCAGTCGGTGCAGTCTCCTTCAGTTCCTATGCCGGAACAATATGGGGGAGCATCCACCAGTGTGAGAGTGGCAAGGCCTCCACTAATGCCTGGTTCATATGTTCAAGGGGCTTATGGTCCTGTGCTGTTTTCCCCTGGAGTGGTTCCTATTCCGGGATGGAGTCATTACTCGGTAGGATAATCATCATTGTTGCATTACGGTAATGGCAAAAGTATATGAGATTCCTGAAGTTGTTTTTGACATTTTTTCTGCAGGCACCCATAAGCCCGGTACTATCTCCTGGTGCACAACCTGTTGTTGGAGCAACTTCTCTCTATGGACTAGCACAACTATCTTCTTCAACACCCTCACTTGCAGGATCCTATCCTTCCTTGCCTTCTTCTACTGGCCCTTCAAGAAGTAATCAGAAGGAGCAAACATTCCCAGAGAGACCTGGTGAACCTGAATGCCAATACTATTTGAGAACTGGTGACTGTAAATTTGAATCATCTTGTAGGTATCATCATCCCAGAGACAGGGTTGTGCCACGAACAAATTGTGCCCTCAACCCAATGGGACTTCCTTTACGTCCGGTATGTGAACACTTTTAATCTCTTAGTCTTTATTTTGTTCTTTATCTTGTGTTTTATGCTCAAGGTGACATTTTGTTAGACTTAGATTTTATAAGGATCTTAACTTCAAAATCTTGCTTTATTAAAGCGAGTTTGCTTAGATTAATATATTGGACATACCTCTGGAATTGACTTTGAGTGACTGCCCTAGAATTATGAACTCTGAAGTTCGTTTTTCAATTTATCTACCATAAAGTTAAAAGTTTTGTTCCTTAGATAGGAAAGAAAGGAAGTGACAACCTTTTGACCTTTGCTTTCACTTCTAATTAATGCTCAAGTGCAAGGAATGAGAAGGCTTCAATAAGGGTCATCACATGCACATTTAACAGTTTTATTGTTTGCACCTGCAAATAATCTACTGTGGAAGGCTTTTTTACTGGCCTTAAGAACTCAGGAATCTAATTATTGCTTACTAGATGACTTAGGTTGTCAAAGTTTCATAATTAGTTTTGGATAAAGACAAGTATTCTTTGAGTAGAATGTGTGGTAGGGTTATAACTTATCATTTGATACTAGAGTTGATCCCTAGTGAAAGTAATGATGGAGCACTTTAGTTGAGGCTTCTGAATATTTTTAATGTTCATGTGGCCAAAAGATGGATCATCTGAAAGTTGCTACAAATTTATGGCAGGGAGTAGCATGTCTTTTTGCAGTAACTAGGATGTTATTAAATTAAGCAACCTAGCTCCACCAAAGTTTCCTATGCCTTGTATGTGGACATCATCAAGGTTAATTATCTTATTTAATATTTTTAGTATGTTTTTAAAGAAAAAACTTGGGGATTTAATAATAACTTTATATGTTGAGGTCCTTATTTGCACCCTTTGTAATCCAGTGGTGGCTGTCTCAATCACTCTTAACAACTTGGCCTGATCAAGCATCATGCATACATCTATGTGAGGTGTATGTGTTTAATCCTCTCTTTCTCCTTTACATGATTAGTATTAATGTGAGTCTCGGTTAGTTTGGAGAGGATTAGGTATATACTATATGATCAAATTTGTGTGAAAAATCCTATGCAGATATATAATGGAGTTATCGTGATTCTTCAACTTATTAGGTATTTTATTAGTAACATAGATCTTTTGCTTTTTTCCTGATAATATTTGTTATCGATTGAAAATGTTTTATTTTTTGCTACAAAATATTTTTCTATTCTTGAATTGTTGTATTTGCCTAATAGTATACTTTATGAACGACGTGCATGCTTCAAGTTGTAGCATTTCGACGAAAATAGAGGTATAAGAATGCTATTCTAATCAACCTTTGCAAGTTCTCACTATAGTTATCATGGTCCCCTAATTTCTAATAGACTATTACCTTAGTGATCATATATCTTTTTAAATTTATTATAGCAATTTTGTACTGTCTTATGCTTTAGTAACTCCACTATGTTTTTTTATAAGAGACTAGGCCTCTTTAAAACCCCCTTCATACCCGCCGTTGTACATTGGAAGGAGAAAAAGAGTGCCTCAAATATTATTCCAAAAAGAAATTAAACCTCATACAACAGCAGGTTGTTACAACCATCACCCACCAACTTAACCTCAACCCACCCTACAAACATATCATCCAAACAAAAATTACTAAACAATTACCCTATATCGACTTAGCCAAACTGTCAGCCTCCCAATTGACAACCCTTTTTAGAGACCTGATAATAACACTATGTTCCAATACAAAACTGACAATTTCTTTAACTAGCTGTGAAAACACGGTAGGACACACTTCCAGAGTCTTAATCCATTTCACTGCAATTGCAGAATCAGTCTCCATAATTAACCGACCCCTACCACGCTATTATGATTCCACAAACAAAGATAAACCAACTTGAATGACCTTCAACTCAGCTAAGATAGGCAGACCTAGACCAGTAGATGCCGAAAATGAACCCAAAATCTTGCTCTTCATTTCTAAGGATTCCACCAATTCCACTGCCATTCCAATCACTTGTCACTGCCCTATCCACATTAATTTTGAAGAAACCCGGGGGTGGGGGACACCACGAGATAGTTGAGAGATTTATCTTCATGGACGGATTACTTGAATCAGCCAACTTCGGGTCACCAACAATGCAATCTAAGATAACTGGAAAATTAGGAAATTTCGCCGAAAACCACGCAACCACTCTATATCTAGAAATAAAGAACAACTGTTTAAGATCAAGACTTCCATTCTCGAAAACCACTTGGTTTCGACACTTCCATATTGACCACAAGACAACTCCCGGAATAAAATTCCAAATAATAGGCTTTGGAACTAGGCTTCCCCAAGAAGATAAGAAGACATTAGGATACTCTGGAAGGACAGTGGATAGGTTCCACAACCTTAAGAAACTCACCCATAAGCCCTACGCAATAGAACAAGAAAAAAGCAAGTGAGAAACAGTCTCTTGGTACAAACCACAAAGAGGGCATAAAATGTTCTCTATCCCACTAACACTACGCTTGATAAGTTCATATTTAATAGCCAATTTTTGATGCAAAACCTTCCACATAAACGCCTCCACTCTTGGGGTAGCATAACCGATCCAAACCAGCTTTGACCAAATCAGATCCACAACAAACCCTTCTAACAGTAATTTAACGCATGATGCATGATTCATCAACATTAATACAGAAAATTCTGCTCTTAGACAAAATTAGTTGTAGCCCCGAACACTATTCAAAAATAGTCGATACTCTCTTCACATTCTTCAGTTGACCTTCCGAAGCATCACAAAAAACTAACAGATCATCGCAAACTACAAATGAGACAGCGATAACGCCTTATTCGGGATTAGGGTTTTAGTTAGGCATGGGAATAAGGTTAGTTTCGATGAGCCAAATCTGTTTGCCAATGAAGGCGACGAAATGGCTTCTGTTGCTTATAGGTATAAAAGGTGAAGCTTGATAATGATATGCAATTAGTTGCTCGGTATGAGGTTCAGAGTGTTGTTGATGTTAATAATCAGAAGTCTTTCCTTACTTTGAATGCACTTAATGAGTTTGATCCCAAGTACTCTGGTGTTGATTGGAGGCAGAAGTTGGAGACTCAAAGGGGTGCGGTTTTGGTTATGAGTTGAAGAACAATGCGACTAAGTTGGCTAAATGGTCTGCACAAGCGATTTTAGCCAATGCTAATTTGATGAGATTGGGATATGTTTCGAGGGTGCATCCTAGGGATCATTTTAACCATGTGATATTGGGTGTTGTTGGTTACAAACGGTGAAATTGTGTTGCTCAAATTAATCTCAATACTGCGAAAATGTGGGGGATTGTGAAGTATACTGTCGACTTGTGTATGAAGTTAAATGAGGGGAAATATGTGCTTGTGAAGGATCCTTCCAAGCCTGAAGTGAGGATTTATAAGGTTCCAGCAGATGCTTCCGAGAATGATTATGTGGAAGAACTACAGTGTACGTTTTCAAGACAGAATTTTGTAATTGAGCATCTTAAAGAAATTGAAACACATGTTAAGAATAAGTCGGACTCTGAACAAAGGAAAACAGCTATTTGAGGTTAGATTTGGTTATGAAAAGATTATTGTCGTCTTGGGAGGTAAAGAGTTTATTGAAGGTCAAAATCCTGTTGGTATCAAAACCCTTTTGCCTGTTTTAGAAAAGCAAGTTAACACTACTGTTGGAGGCTGAAAATTCAAAATCTAAAGCATAGGAACTTGGTACCAAGTTGGCCGAAAGCCAACATGTCGTGAATGTTATAGCACGCGAGGGCCCTGCGAGGGTGCACAAGCCAGAGACGTACAAGCAATGACTAATTAGTTGGGATGGACTTCCTTCTTTTGCAAATTGGAAGGATTTTGTGGTCTTGCTATCACAAATTCGATACTTTGATCCTTGGGGACAAGGATCGTCTAAAGGGTGAGGAATTGTCACGGTTGGGAGAGAGGAGGAGAAGCATGAAGCGAAGGGCATTGGGGATTTAGAAAATGAATTAGGGATTGAGCTAAGGATTGCACGTTGTGAATTGGGGAATTTTGATGATGAAGAATTAAAAGGGGAGCGTGTGACTCACATGGGGAAAATTAACATGAAGAAAAGAGCAGACTACTTGAGGAAGGGAAACAATGGCCTTAGCCAAGCCAAAATAGGAGGAAACCTAGCGTATTGTGATTAAATAACCATGTATTGTAGAATATAGTTTTCATGTGTGAAAAGAATGAACTTTTTCTTCTCTTGAATCTATATTCTCTCGTCTACTCTCCCCTCTTTTCTTCTCTTCTTCGTCTATTTTTCTTCTCTATTTCTCGAGGGTCGTAACACAGACTAATAGGCCGATAATCTTCCAAACTCTCTGGATTCAATTTCTTGGGGATCAATGATATAAGAGAATGATTCACTCCTTTCTCCCACCTCTTCCCTGAATAAAAATCCGAGAAAAACATTAGGATCTCATCCTTCAAAATTGGCCAGAATCTCTTAAAAAACCCATATTTAGTCCATCCGGTCCAGGCGCCTTGTTGCTATCCGAGGATGCAGGGAATGTGGTTTTTGGCTTAGTGATCACATATCTTTGTAAACTTTATCATTGCAGCTACTTGATCTTATGGAATTTTCAATTTTGCTATTTTTCGTACATTGTTTATAACAGGAAGATAGGTGATGTACTAAAAGGTTGGTTAGATAATAATTTCTTCATGACTTCATCTTGCCTAGTCTTAAAGATTGGTTAGGTAATAATTTCTTCAATACTTCACCTTGTGAATCCCCTGTATGTCTTGGGGTGTGTGTGGACCAGATAGGGAAATATGTTCTAGTTTGCTTTTATTTTTTTCCACCTACTGTTCAGCCTTATTACTGCTATCTCATCCACTTATTTTTTTTGGAGCGTGCTATCTCGAACAGCTAGTTTATTACTTTCACAGTTTTGTGATGTTGAGATGCAATGTCTATCCTAAAAACTTTAGTTTTTAAAAAATTGGTGTGATTTGATTCTTTTATGTAAACAGGGTGTGCAGCCTTGTTCATTCTACTTGCAGAATGGTCACTGCAAGTTCGGGTCCACGTGCAAATTCGATCACCCTGTGGGAACAATAAGATTTAGTCCATCAGCATCATCTCTCATTGATATGCCAGTTGCTCCTTATCAAGTTGGGTCTTTACTGGCTACATTGGCACCTTCTTCTTCTTCTGATTTACGGCCGGAGCTTATTTCAGGGCCTAAGGAGGATTCTTATTTGAGCAGGATTCCTTCATCTGCTAGCACATCTAGTAGTTCGGTTGGTTTGATTTTTTCACTGACGGGTTCTGTTCCTCTTTCCGATTTGCAATTTTCAAGTCAGAGTGCTGTTCCTCTAAGCAGTAGCAGAAGCATAAGACATGGTGGTGAGGTCCGTCGCACAAATTGATGTAAAATGTTAGAGCCATTCTTCATTATCTCGCAGATACGGTGATGTATTTTCCTGTTAATAGATCTGGGTACATTATAGTCAATTGTGCAAAGTTACATTTATCAGCTGCAAGGCTTATCGACCAATCTGCTTAGCTCAGAATAGAACTGATTGTATTTATGCCTAGCTTGTTTTTTTATTACCATCAATATTATACGCAATAAGCTGTTGTAGCAGAGTATGAACCAGTATCCCTTTCTTCCAAATAATCACAACATAAAGCCTCTATATCAGGTTAGCCTGTGACCATGCTTTCAGCTTGATGTTTTGTATTCCATCATTTTGCAATTAACACTTTAGGTGGATTGTTAAAGTGAGTTGCAATTTTGCCATTGCTACGCGTGTTTTATATATATTAAAGATAATCTATCTTTTCTTTTCTAGTAAAAGTATCTTCATTTTCTATTTTTAATTTCGTTCATTCGTTTTCATTATCCAACGATTAAATCCGTAAAACTTTTAATTTGCATACCGTGTCAACTGATCTACCTCTTTGCCATATAATTTGCTTCACTAGCTTTGTCGTGACTTGAAAAGTAAGGTGCTGAAGCCTTTCCGTCGTTTAGTATAACGTGAGATTTTTAGTTATCCCACTGTTTATTTTCCTTACTGAAGGGATTGAATTGAAACAGCAAGAGGCAAATTAGCTTAACAAACCAATGAGATCAAGCAACGTGCATAATTATATAAATCACATAGGTGAAGTTAAAAAGATAATCATTGGATTTCACCTGATCCAATGAATGGGGCACACATTGCATTCTTTGTACATAGCTAATGAGCAAATCACTATGAAACTTTGAGCATGCGCAACAATCACTGTTGCTTTAACTTATGGCAACAAGGCCATAAACCCCCATGTTTCACAATTAGACAATCCATGGTTCAATGATTTGAAAGTAACTCCTCTGATTCGAGCATGGCCAAGACCGGTAAGTTCAAACCAGGTTTAACAAATCTTCAGCTTCATTAATGATTACTATAAGATCATAATTAAGCATATACAGATACTCACACGATCAAAGCCCTTTATTTGCAGCAAATTGCTATGATAATATAGGTGCTAATCAGTAAAGCATATGGCTAGGAGAGAAGTGGGTTCAAGAGAGTGGGCTCACATGTTTTCTGTAACTATAATTGTAGCCACCAACTTTGCTTTGCTTATGCACCCTACTGCACTATTGATTCAAAGCTTCTTTCTCCTCTTCACCTGTATTTTACTTGAAAAGAAAATGAAAAGAGGGACAAAAGAAAACTCCCTTTTGGCTCTTAGCTTCAGTATCTAGCTCTGGCCTCTGTACTCCCATTTTCTTGGATGATGCAGATCACTGTGGTCCAGAAAATCAACCCTTAATGAATGGGACGTTTCGAAAGAAACTGAACTCGAAAACTGGGATTTTTCGTTTCGAATGTGACACTGAAGATCAACCCTTTATATGTTCTATATGGATATGTTGAGATATTTTGTATGTTATATTTAAGCCACCTTTTCTTGAAGTCTGGCTGGTGATTGATTCTTCAGGTCTGTCTAATGATGTATTCAGCTAACATAATCAAAACCAATTGGTTAAGCTTTTGGCTTCTGGTGTCAGCTGCTCACTGTCATGATTCCTGGTTCAAACATTAAAAAAAAAATTAAAGGTGTGCTCTAGAGAAAAAGACCTATAAGTTGTTCATGATGTGCCTACCTAAGAGATAATATAAATAATTAGATGATAAACTATTCATTTCAAACCCTAATTTCTCCCCTCAAAGCCAATAAGCCAATAACATTCCTTTTTTCCCACTGAAACCACTCGTTAGGTTATGAATAATGAATTCGAAGTCCTTCAAAGTAAAATAGTGGATTTTATTATTATAAAAAAAGTAGTGTTGAAATAATTTTATTCCATTTAAAGATCCAACTTCACTCTCGAATTCAGATATAATCTGGTCTCATGCACACAAAAGGAAAAAAAAATGCAAGAATTGATGGGATGATTATTACCACTTGATCCATGCAATCTTAGGCCATAATTAAGCCAACAGTTTGCAATACCAAGCGTACATATATACACTCAACTTGCTTAATAAATTTATGGGTATATTGTTGATTAGGTTAAGTGGAGCCTGACACAATAAAACCAACACCAGATGTTTTTGTAGTTGGAATGGTTGAATCTGTAAACAATTTCCCCCCTAACTAGCTATTAAAATTCCCATATTTAATCATGTAAACAGTGTATCAGCACTAAAGTTTGTGTAAGGGAGAAGAAATAACATCCGAATTTGGAGAAACTAAGGAAACTGTAGCCTGTTAAGGTAATGTCCCAGTGATTGTGGGAAAGAAATACCATAGTTGCAGGCTTTGGCTTCTAGCTAGAACCTAAAACTACTTTAAATTTTGGCAGATACGTGTGTATATATATATATGTATGTATGGACACAGGGGAGTGGTACTAATTATAACATGTAATCCAACTCATCCTCTTAATACCCTACTTTAGTAAGACTTTACACATAATATAAGAGTTAATTAAGTTATTCTTTTATATGGGTAGCTTTCACTAGCCATGATTATATCCCCAAAAAGCACTGCAACCCTTCAGGATTCCTGCAATATTTTTTTTCTTCGTAAACAAAAACCATGTCAAAAGAACAAACAACCAAATAGTTCATGACTTAAGATTAGGCACATTGAGTACTCAACACTCGTTAAAAGTAAATTTTAAAGCCATTACCACCTTCTAATCCTGCATGAACTCATATTACAATTCCACCTAACCCCAGAAAGTCCAGCCTTTCTCCTTCTTAATATAGATCTTTAAGAGAAGAAAAAGAGAGATTTGGTGTCATTAAACAACAACCTGTCAAAAGCAGAAACCATGGAGTACTGAAAAAAAAGATATTTGGGCTAAAATTTGTTAGTGCCTGCTTGTGGTTCATAACATTCATAGGGCTGAAATCTGAATTTTTCCAGGTTTTTGAGAAAATGGGTGTTATTACTCTTGGTGAAGTGAAACCTACTGTATCGGGGAAGAGATTTTTTCGTCCAAGTTCAAGTATAAGGCATGCCACTGAATGGTAATAAACTTTCTTCTTCTTCTTTGTTGCAGAGTGATTTTTAAGGCATTAGAATTTGGGTTGGTAGGCTGTTTCTTCTTTTCTCTAACATTTCTGCACTTAATAATTACTTCTGATGCATGGAACTTTGAAAACTCCTACCATTTAATTGAGTTTGGACCATTGTGTTTCGCCTATCAAAACAGTTTCTGTAACCTGAGTTAATGATTCAGATATTTTATTTTAATTTCGAAAGTGATGTTTTCCAACTTCAATCTTTATTTCTGGAACCTAGGTTCATAATTTATGCAAAGTGTGCAATCTTCTTGGTCTAATAATTTTCCACTTGCTGATAAGCCTGGAACAGTCATAGTTGAGTATGACAGATTAACCCCTTTCGAGCTAAGATCTTGACCTCGTAAGTCTTCCATCCGAAGCGACGGCAACACGAGCCTCGGTTTCGGATATATGGATGTGTTCTTATCCTACAAAATCAATAATATGAACTGCTATATTTTCATAAGCTTCCCTATCAAATGGTTTCTATTTTCTCCCAGAATGCAAGAAAAACACATACAGCTATCAAATAAAATTCAGGGTCCCATTTGGTTCCGAGCAATTCATATCCATGAATGTACGTAAAATAGCTTACATGTTTTTTTTTACCATATGACCTTATTTCACACACTGTTGTTTAAGCAACACCACTCATGCCAATAATTATTGAGTTGTCACTTGTCAGTTTCCCCATCTGGGTGGACCTCCATGTCGAACCATGAACCATGGTAGGTTTCTTTTCCCTATTGACTGAGACGTCCAATGAAACAATTGAGGAATTCTTGAATTCAAGCATGGGAATGCAGATTTATGCCAAAAGTAATAATGTGATATCTAAACTATTTACACTAACAAGGATGTAGAATTTCATTCATCTATTCCAATGAGTATAGTTTTAGTCTCTTTGCAGCATTCTTTTAACCTGGTTATCAATCTTGCAGGCCTATTTCTGATGTTTCTAGTGATCTCGCCATTGAAGTAGAAGCATCAAGCTTTGCACTTCATAAGGTAAGGTGAATCTGTTTTGGGATTTCTTTAGCTGCCAATATGTAATTCTGATGTATGCTGTATGCACATGGTATTTGAAAGATGTTTACCTTGTGACCAAGAAATTGTTGTACCATTGTGATAGAAGCTTTAGTTATGTGGTTGTAACTTTTCTTTTCAGTTCCCTCTGGTGTCTCGGAGTGGAAGAATCCGTAAGTTGTTGGTCGAAGCGAAGGATGTAACAATTTCGGGTATGAATTTCTCTTCTATTCCTGGTGGACCTGAAGCGTTTGAGCTAGCCGCAAAGTTCTGCTATGGAATAAATATTGATATTACATTATCGAACGTCGCGATGTTAAGATGTGGATCGCATTTCCTGGAGATGACGGAAGAGTTTGCGGAGAAGAACCTGGAAGCTCGGACAGAAGGGTATCTGAAGGACGTAGTACTCCCAAACATATCGAGCTCGATATCTGTTCTTCACTGTTGCGAGAACCTCTTGCCTGTTTCTGAAGAGATCAACCTAGTTAATAGGCTTATCAATGCAATAGCGAATAATGCATGCAACGAGCAGCTCACTTCAGGCTTACTGAAACTTGACCACAACTTCCCATCGAAAGCTATGCCGAACACCGAACCAGAAACACAGTCCGACTGGTGGGGAAAGTCTTTGGCTGTTCTTAACCTTGATTTCTTCCAACGAGTTTTAACGACCGTGAAATCGAAGGTCTAAAACAGGATATGATCAGCAAAATTTTGATAAATTACACACACAATTCTCTTCAAGGTCTGGTCCTCAGGGACCATCACTTAGTAAAGGGAAGCCTGTTGGACTTAGAGCTGCAAAAGAAACAAAGGGTAATCGTTGAAGCCATCGTTGATTTACTGCCGACTCAATCGAGGAAGAGTTCGGTTCCCATGGCTTTCCTCTCCAGTTTACTGAAAATTGCAATAGCCTCATTGGCATCGACTTCTTGCAGATCGGATCTCGAGAGGAGGATAGGCCTGCAACTAGACCAGGCAATTCTTGAAGATATCCTAATACCAACCAATTCACATGGAAACAATCATACAACCTTGTATGACACGGAGTCAATTTTAAGGATCTTCTCCATATTTTTGAACTTGGACGAGGATGATGATGAGGACAATCCCATGAGAGACGAAAGAGAAATGGCATATGGTTTCGACAGCCCGGGATCTCCCAAACAAAGTTCAATCCTCAAAGTATCCAAGTTACTGGACACTTATCTTGCAGAAGCTGCACTGGACACAAAGTTGTTGCCATCAAAATTCATAGCACTTGCAGAGTTACTTCCTGACCATGCTCGTATCGTTAGTGATGGATTATACAGAGCGGTCGATATCTTCCTCAAGGTCAGGTTCTATCAGTAAGTAGTCCCCTAGTTAAGTTAAGGCATTGTTAGAACCGTTTTTTCTGTTTTGCTTTTTACAGGTTCATCCGAACATAAAGGATTCCGAACGATACAGACTATGTAAAACCATAGATTGTCAGAAATTATCTCAAGAAGCTTGTAGCCATGCAGCACAGAACGAAAGGTTGCCGGTGCAAATGGCTGTCCAAGTGCTATATTTCGAGCAAATCAGGCTTCGGAACGCAATGAACGGAGGTCACAATCAATTCTCTTTCGGAGCAATCAACGGACGTTCGAGCAGCGGTGCGGGGAGCGAAGCCATCTCGCCTAGAGACAACTATGCGTCGGTTAGAAAAGAGAACCGAGAACTGAAACTCGAAGTTGCAAGGATGAGGATGAGGCTAACCGACCTTGAAAAGGATCATGTGTCGATGAAACAAGAGTTGGTCAGGTCTCACCCTGCTAACAAGATATTCAAATCATTCACCAAGAAATTGAGCAATCTCAACTCATTGTTCAGGATCAACAATCTGAAGACTATAGGGGGTAAACCAAATGCAGAATCTCGGTTCTTGTTCCAAAGGCGAAGGCGTCATTCGATATCATAGTTAACGAGGTGTGGATAAACTGAAAGAGTGTATAGTTAATGATCTGTGTATGCAGTGTGAAATTTGTGGTCTAATTGCAGGGTTGAGAGTATATATATAGTTGTTTCTTTTTTGGAGTGTCGAATTTTCGGGTTGCTTTGTTTAGTGAGATCAGTGCCATGACATTTTGAAAAGAGTCTTGAGAGTAGGGGCATTACTCACTTGAAATTTGTATCTTAAATGTGTGGACGCGAGAATCTATACAATGAATTACGGTAGACAAGTACCCATTAAATGATTTTAACGATAAGAATAATGTTGAATGTAATTCTTTTTATGAGATTAAGGTTTGATTATGTGTACCTGTAGAGTGTGTGGTGTTAATAATTAAAAATATTTTAAACATATATTACATTGTTTTAATATCTTGATTATTTTGTAATAATTAAATAAAATAATAATAATTTTAAAAGTTTAATGATCAAAACAATCATTTGAGCATAACTCAATGAATTATGACATGTTTTTTTTCAAAATAAATTTATATAAACTAAATTTAAACAACATGCGTATCAATTTTTCTTCTTAATAATGTTAATTTCAATTGAATTGATGAGAATTGATATTTTTTAAAAGAAAAATTATCAATATAATCTTAACCGAAATAATTAAAGTGTGAACTATTTAACTAATTAAAGATATTAGGGAATAATTCATCAAGTAAGTCCAGTGATAAAAAGAAATATTGATTTCTTTAGAAGCCTTGGATTTGAGCAACGATATTTGTAAGGTGTGTCTACATTGTCAATAGGTTAGTAAATTTCTGAACATATACTACATTGTAATCACTCCAGACTATTCAAATATATATATATATATAGAAGAAGTAAGGACCAAATTGTATCATACTAAATTATAGTAATTAAATCCTAAATCTGTGAATAATATAGGGAACAAAGCCATAATTTGACCCCAGAAATCTCTAGTGAAATTACTAGTTTTAAACCCGTAGGTTTGCATTGTTCCTTGGAGGCGGCGCGGAGGCTGAAAAATCGTACTCCATTTTCTCGAACTGAAAACGGTACGGACGAGATGTGGACTTCTCTTTCTCAATTAGGCAACATATTGCCCATCCCGAAACTCTTCTGGTACTACAAATTTCAGCCTTGAATTCCTTTTTTAGCGTTTTCGAATTCCCAGTCTCGAAAAAGATAGAATCTTTTTTTGTCTCCTCTTTTCCCTGATATTTTTTCAAGCAATTGGGGCGAGAAATGGAAACCGCAATGAAGGTGTTACAACTGGGCCCTTGGGAATCATCGAGCATAGATTCTCCGCTGAAGAATTTCGCGAGGCAAACGCGACGGTTCGTAGAGCCGTCGAGAATTGGCGGGGGAATGCAATTATGGAGCAAAGAAGCGGAGTTTTGAAAGATTACATTCACGGGTGAACAATCATCATGCCGCTCTGTTGTTTTCGGTTGATTGATAGAAGGAACTCTGAAGAGAATGAGGAATGTAAAAACTTTTGCAGAGTATTTTGTTATATAGACTTATCTATAAGTTCTGAATAAAGCTATTCAATTTTCCCTTAACTGGAAATTTTCGTGTATACTGATGATGGATTATACAGTGTTTGTGGCAAGATGAATTTCGCTCATTTGTCTTCTATGGACATCATGTACTTTTTGGCAGATGTTAGATGTTATTTACCTGCTTAGGGTTTACTAGAATACCAGTCCATGTGTTCTTTTAACCGGACTCGGTATAAATGATTGTACATCGAATCTCTGCTTATTAATGACCAAAAGCTGTTTATATCCTCGGGAAGAAATGGAATAATGCTTATACCATTATGCAGTTATCTGCTTTGAATTTGATCCCACCAGGTATCTTCTAAGAGCCCCTGAATTCAAAACTTGGTGAGTTACTGTTTCTGATGATTGATCAGGTATTCTTTGTGGATGTTTCAACAGTGTAGGGTGTGCTATCAGGCTGAGTACTTGAATCTATGTTTACGCCATTAACACTTGCATGTAATTCGAAATATAGGCAATAAGACTTTTTTATGATTAACATGGAGGGTCGTAACGTGATGAAGTTTTCCCCTGATAATTTGCCCTGTGAATACAACTGGTACACCGGGTTGGCGTCCAAGCTGCTGTTGTGCTCGGAATATGGTCCAAGCTCACATGCAGTACGGAAGTCAACTTTGAGTTTCTTGATGATATGGCACATGCTGTAACTGCTGCTGAATATCTGCTGGGTAATAATATGAGGTGCTATGAAGCTGGTATGGAGGCTTCTGTTGTCTACGATGAACCTAAAATAATCGGCCATGAAAGGCTGGTACTTAAACCGAGGGAATACCATTTACAAATCGAAAAAAGTTAGCATCGTGAAAAGAAGTCTGAAGTTGTTGAAGCTGAGATTAAATTGTTCTTGTACATTGAAACTATCATCTCAAGTTCTACTTTTTTATGTACATTCTGATGCTAGAGCTTGGCCTTTTAAACATTATTTTTCCATCCAGTTCATACTGCTATTACATTCCCTGCTGCTCTAAAGCTTATTTTGCTGTTTCTACTACTACATCTATAAGCCACCAGGAAACATTGAAACCTCAAAGCCAAGCCAAGGTTCGAGCTTCTAAATGCATTACATAACAGCGGATATACTTTTATTTAAAGCGCAGACGAGGGATAGATATTACACGGGCATTAAAAATACAAGTTAGTACGAGGAAAATACTATATAACCCTGGTCAGCCCCAAAAATTGTGTACAAGGATGCTCTGCAACTCATACATAAGCCAAAAGGGAAACACAGATAACAAAACCATTTATCACTTTATTTGAGTTCATGGAAGTTCACTTCAATCTTTCAAATCCATATAGCCCCAGCCCTTATTAGCAATGGGGCAAGCTGGTTCCTGAGTTGGAGGGACATGACTTGGTTAGCTCCTCCAATGAATTGCTGGCCTATGAAAACAGCCGGCACACTTGGATTGCACCCCATCTGCTGCAATGCCCTTTCGACTTGTTGCCCGTTCGCAATTTCGTCGAGCTCGTAAACCGTCAGGTTCGCCCCGAATCCACCGATGAGAGTCTTGATGGTATGGCTTATGCAACAAGTGGTCCGGCTAAAGATTACCACCGGCCTGTCTGCAATCATACTTGCGATTGCATCCATTGCTATGCAGAAGAGAAGTGCTTTTGGTAATTAATGTGAGAGCTGTATGAAGCTTCTTTGGGAACTTTAAAAAATTGTTTTTGAATTGCTTAGCCTTGATGAAGAACTACCCACCTTGGACAGCTATTTATACTGTCCATGAACAGTGGTGAGAAGGAATAAAATAATCCAGAATATCTTCCTTTCCTTACATTCAGTACTAGCAACTTGCACACCAGTATGAAAATACATTTAACAGTGACAACATATATAGATTTTATTCTAATGAACAACACTATCCTTAACATATTAAGTGCAAAGAAAGCAAAGTCTTTCAGTAGGCTATAGAACTATCCATGCATGAGCCATGTTTGATACATTAAGAATTCATGTTATCCGACACGTTTGTGTTTGTGTATTCGTATCGTGTTCATTGTTTTTTTTTTCATCATAGAACTTCCTATTCGATCTCTATCTATCTTCTTGCAGCAGCTCTGCTGAAGAGGAAAAAGAAGTTGGTTTTATCCAATATATCAGACACCACTTTTTCCCCCTTCTCTCTCATAAACCACTGATTTCCATAAGTTCCAAATCAAGAAAACCGAAAGCCAACAGAGAAAGCAAAGGGAGAAGAGGAGAAAAATGGAGAGAAAAGAGATGCTTACTATAAAAGCTACAAACGTAATGACCGTACAAAGAAGCAAGAAGAAGATGCCTCGAGGACCCACAACCACAGACATTATCTAGTACTTGTTCTTACATTGCTTAGCCTTGATGAAGATGCCTTCACATGGAACCCCATTGTTAGTGTAAGTGCACTCAACTATTGGAAAATGCATTCAACCAATAATAATCACCGTATGATTTGAGTTGAAATATGAAGTTTTGATTTAACATATATTTTTGCCATTTATCTGCAATTTTGACCAAGACAAATAAGGGACTCCTATAGGTAATCTTAAAAAGGTTAAATCATTATGTTGATACTCCACAATATTTATCACATGGTATATTAATAGATGAAATTACTAGTTTTATCAAGACAGAATATATTCTCATGTTAGAACAACTGGATCCATCGTGATCACTTTATCCCAGGAACATTATCAATCCACCACCAATTTGAATCACACTCACAGTTATGGTGCCATCAGCTTTTCTTCTTTATCTGTTGATAGCACCAAAACCTCTCGACTTTTTCCAGGTGTAAAACGCGTTATACGTATATTTATATAGTCTTTGAGTACGTACCGGCAGAAATCACCACGTGGTAATATTCAGCAGCCAAACCTGGCTCCAGATAAAGCGAAAGGCCAGGGTCAATTCTTCATATAAATCATTAATATATATGTAAATCTGCATGAAGAGCTACCATGCACTCTGCACCTGCACGAATTGATCTACATGCTACTAGCAATATCTATCGTAGAATATTACGCCAAAGATATGGACTTCTCCTCTTTTACCTATGAAGGGATTTTTTTCATTATATATATATTTTCTATTGATAATATGTGTTGATCTGAGAATTTTATAAGTTCTATCTTTTACTAAAACTTTAAAAATTCCCCCTAACAAAAAATCATTCATTTGTGCCTCTATATTTATATACACACACGCATATATACATGGATATATTCTTTGATTAGCATGAAAGAGATAGAGAGTGACAATGAAGATAACGTACTTATATGGATATGGTGCAGTTTAGGAATGCCAACTTTGGTGGATTCACTTGTACATAGAGATACAGTGGTGTACTTGAGACTTGAGAGCTGGTAACCCAACAATGAAAAAAAAAAAGAACAATGAGGGGGAAAAAAGTCCTGGCATCACAGCAACAGGGATTTTATCAAACGTTCATGAATCAGTGCATGTGTGAAAACTGTAAGATTTGGAGAATTTTTGTTTATGAAGAAGATTTCCATATATGAAGATACAGCAACTGGCATTTTACTGCAGTTGTTGTTGAAGAAAATCAAAGCTATATATATTCTGCAGATATTAAAATGGATCATCGTGTTGAACTGGAAGCTGAATATTTTTTGTTGTAAAATTCTCCAAGTCGGCTGACAAGAACAGCTAGCATGGGCGGGTGTGGCATATATGGAGCAGTTGTTTTCTTCTTTAGCATCCACTGATCCTCCACGTGCCTTACTATTCCATGTTTCTTATCTTCATCCCTGACGTGAAATGTTGATGGGACTGGAGGATACGAAATTACTCGAGATCAACATCCGGTGTCGTTTCGCGTATCTGATTGTACTGATTAATTTAACTAATAGAATAAAGATAAATATATACGCGGATTTGAGTCCATTTTTATCTGATTTCTTTTTTCTCCTAATGGAGGGTTAATTTTGATGGATATATAAAATATTTTAAAAGGTAAAGGATAAATATCAAATTTATTAATTTTGATTCATTTGCAATGTGATCAAGAGTGAGTAAAGAATCAAATAAATAAATAAAAAGATAATTTATTAGATTTGATAATCTGAACTATTAAGGATTCACAAGTTTACAAATCATGATAATCCGATTTAGTTTGAACTTAATTTCATTTTATATTTAAAGTATAATTAATACTTATTTTAATCAAATAATATAAGTATTTCATATATCAAATAATAAAAAATAATTTAAAAACATTATATAAAATTTATTAAGTATTTTTATTTACTTTAAAAATAATTCTTTTAGAGTAATTTGGGTTGGGAAAGTCGTTTTTGCCTCTACAATACTTAATCTGAATTAATCGATTAAGAAAAATTCTACAACATTCGTGGAGCGTGGATGAGCACCGTTAACGATGAACACCATTAAATTAATTTATAAAATGTTAAATTATAAAGTACTAAACGTATACTTATAAATTATTTAATAATTTAAATGTAATTTAATTAAAATGTAATATTTATAAAACATTAGATTTTAGGGTAAATTATATCATCAACCACCTAACTATTTACCCTTTTACTTTAACCATTGATTTTTCAATTTTGTCAATCGGGATTTATATAATTACACATTTTAGTCCTCATTACACATTCTGTTAATTTGGTTCTAACTTTTAATTAATTCAATAAATTGAATCATCAATCAGATGATGACATGTGTCACTATGTGGTTGGATGTTTTTCTTAATATTTTTATTTAATTTAATAAAATTTTCATCTAATCAAATGGTGTCATGTGTCACCAATTGAATGAATGCTGGTAGAGTTTTAACCCAGTATATATGGAGAGGAAGCAAACCCCACAACCACTAGGCTACACCATTCAAATGATAAATCTATCATGACATAATATATAGTTAATGGCAATAAGAAAAAGGAAAAATGGCCTAATAAGAACTCCAACATGGAATAATTGAATAATACGATAATACGATATATATAAACAAATATTATAACTGATTAATATGTAAATGTATTTTATTTATATTTTAAATTATTTTAATGAAAAAATAAAAAAAATTAATATATTATAATTGAAATATAACGAAGAGCTTCGTTGACTTAGAATTTTTCTGATAGTTGAGGGTTTACCATTTTAACTTATGCATTGACTTGTTTATATACTGGTTAGAGTAAGAATTTTATATTTTATTATTTATTCATTATATATCTGATTTTTTAGGGAAACTTGATTTTATTGAATTAGTCTATTTTGATATGGAGTTGTTAAATAAGATTAGAATCCGATCGACGTTATAATATTTTAAAATATAAGATATGATACATTTAAATTCAATAAAATTAGAATAATGAAGACAATTTATTAATTTAAAATATGTAAAACGATACATTCCAATTATAACATATTAAATTCACTTTTATTTTACTTTTTACATTAAATGTGATTTAAAATATAAATAAAACATATTCATTTATTAATTAATTATAATTTTTGTTTATATATATTTTATATTTTCATACTATTCAATTATTTCATGTTTGAGTCATTATAAGGTCATTTATTACCATTAACTATATCATAAATTATATAGATTATGTTATGTATACTAGAAAAATTTAGCAGTCCATCTTAGTGGTTAGGATGCTCAGTTTTTCGGCTTGTGTAATAGGTTTAAATCCCACCAACAGTAGTTATTAATTTAATTTATTTTCTATTCATTCAATTGGTGACACATGACACCATTTGATTGGATGAAAAATTTATTAAATACAAAATATTAAAAAAATCCAATCACACAATGACACATGTCACCATCGGTTGAGGATTAAATTTATTGAATTTAATAAAAGTTAAAGACCAAATTAATAGAATGTGTAAGCAAAAAAAGGTTAAATGTGTAATTATACAAATTTTATTAACGCCACTTCATCTCCTCCGTTAATATTTAACATCATGTGGCTTGATTGACAATATTTAAATAGTTAGGTGACTAGATTAATAAAATTAAAAAATTGATGGTTAAAATAAAATGGGTAAATAGTTAGGTGGTCAATGGTATAGTTTATCCTAAAAACTAATGTTTTATAAATATTATATTTTAATTAAATTACATTTAGATCTTTAACTAATTTATAATTATTCATTTAGTATTTTATAATTTAATATTTTATAAATTAATTTAATGTTGCTGGTCATTAACGTATTCATCCGTGCTCGTCAAGCGTGACAACATCGTCCATCAATTAATAAATTAGGAATTGATGGTTATATAAAAAAATAAATCTTTTAAAAAATATTTGTAAGAAAAGCCTGAATTTTTATCGAATTATGCAAAAAAAAACATCCAATAAATATATTTTATTAAAACAAAGTCAAAAAATCAAATCAAAAAATTAATAAAATAAATAAATAAAAATCTGAACCAAGCTAAACCGATTTAAAATGAACAAATTAAAAAAAAATAAAAACTCAAATTAAAAAGAATCAATCTCATATATAAATGTGATACGTTAACTTTGATTTAATACAATTATATATAATAAAATATTAATTTTAGTTCAATAAAACAAAAAATTAGCTAAATTACATACAATTTAAAAATAAATAATATTACTTTATTTTTATTAAATAAATATAATTTTTTGATATAAAATAAACAAAAAATAATGTTAAATCAAGAATAATTATAATGAATTGTAAAAATCAAATTAAATCAAATCAAATCAAATCAAACTTCAAATATATAATTATAGAATGATTTGAGGTCAGGCTTCTGGTAAGTTCCATAACCAGCCTCCACGGCCCAACACTATATCCTGGGACCGCCGTAGTTGTTCATTTACCAACTCATGCCAAAACATAGAATCTCCATCAATGGTATTCTCGGATAGGAAAAAACGGGAGAAAATCACATGCATGTTTCTAAATAACAAATTTTATTGATTATGTCCGCATTGATTTTATTTAAATATATTTAATATAAAATTTTATATTACTAATATATATATATGTTCATTCTAAACAAATGTTTTTAACTTTGTTAATTTTTATATCGCCTTATCTTTAAGACAAAAAGGCGCTGCTTATAGGTTAAGAGCTTAGTTTATTTATTTATTTAATATCCAGGGTAGTTCCTAGATGCATACGGATACTCATCCACATACAAACATCATTTGTTAATTTCAGAGTGTTGCAATGTTGTAATCTTTACTGTACCTTCCCCATGGATACTCTTATAGAATGAGCACTTCTCTTAAATGCCTATTACTTTATTTTTGGCAAAAAGATAGCATGAGAATGGAGAATCCTGCCCCACCATCGATGAAGGAAGAGTTGTTATCATTGTAAGTAATACGTTGGCGCCATTCACCGGAGGCTCACTCGCACATTTCGACGGTTGCTATCTCTAGGAGCAGCAGCCCTGTACATGAAGTGAGCCTATAAGTGTGCTCACATGTGAGAAGAATCATGCAAGTTGGAGAGCAGAATAGTAAGAATTTACAGCCACATAGGGACATCACATTCGCGATCTCGTTCATAATCTTTCTGCAGCAGAAGGATTCAAAGGAGGCAATTACGAGGATCTTGCGCAAATTGACATCCCACCCTCAGAATTTTCTACTTTTGTTACATTTTGATAGGAGAATCTACCAAAAAGGTGGGAATACATATGGTTGGTAGATTAAACACGCAGGTCGATGAATCAAGTTAACATGAATCTTGTACTTCGAATATGGTTCGAGTAATATTTAGCAGAAACTTGTTTTAGCCAACTTGTTGAACCCATGGAGACATAGTAGTCCCCCATCCCATAAAGTAGCATCTCTAGCTAAAACACATTTTCTTCTTGTTTCCGTCCCTATAAATACTCTACCACGGAAGCTTAAGTTCCAGCAACCTTAAGCTTTGAAGTTTGAACCCTGTTCTCTCTTCTTCCTACTTCACTTTCTAAAAGTCCAAACTTCCACTACCGAATACCATACGAATTCAACCCGATGCTCTTCGACCTTTAAGTGAGACCTACAGGTAACCAAGGGAACTTCTCCTGTTACTTAGCTTTGCACATATTGTGAACCAAGATTTTTCAGCATGGACAAGGTGACAAGATTGGCCTCGGAGAAAGGGGTGGTGCTATTCAGCAAGAGCTCATGTTGCATGTGTTATACAGTCAAAATTCTATTCCAAGAGCTTGGGGTGAGCCCTATGGTTCATGAGATCGACCGAGACCCTGAAGGCTGGGAAATGGAGAAAGCTCTCATGAGGTTGGGGTGCAATGGACCTGTTCCAGCCATCTTCATTGGTGGAAAGCTGGTGGGTTCCACCGATGAAGTTATGTCCCTCCATCTAAGTGGAGGGCTGATGCCTATGCTGAAACCCTATCAGACTTTGTGTTAAAGAACCCTTTTAAGTAAACTTCAAATATCACATTGAAAAGAACAAAATTGGCTCAATATTAGCACTCATCTCTAGTCATGAGCTGTGTTTTGTGTAGTCTGTCCGTAGGCCTCTACATGTCTAATGTGCTTTTTAGCTTTGGATTAGCTCTTCACCATGTAAAATCAGTTTCTATTTCTTAATAAAGTATACTTAATATACTTACAGCTTTTTAGCTTTTAAACAGAATTTGTACACTTTTAATATATTTGAAAGATCATATCCCATGAAACCAACACTTTGGAAACAATAAAAGTATGGATAATATAATCTAAATATACAAGGGGAAGGGAACGGGTTGTTTAAGAACTGAGCATAGTCTAATATTTAACTACCAGTAAAATGTTTGTAATAATATTTTAATTAAATTATTAAATTATAACTTTAAAAAGGTGATTCATTTATAAGTATGCTAAGAATTGAATGACTGAAGTGTATTTTATTGATTACAAAACCATATGTGAAAACCCCCCTGTTGAATTCATATCAATATCTATAATCTAACTGAAGAGGATGAATGGCTATCACTATATCACTATTATGATATAAAAACCTATTGCAAGATTACATTGAAAATGTATTATCTAAAGCATTTTATAGGGAGTTGTGCCAACATTGACGAACACAACTCCCCCACAAACTATAAACCAAAATTCCACAACACGGATAACTAGGGGAGCAAGTAACCACTGACCAGGCAAAACGATGATCAAGGGCCTTCTCAGGCGACACGCCGTGCGACGAGTACAGCTCGCCGAGGAGGCGGTGGGATGCAAATAACCATTAGGGTGAGAGCGATAACCAGGACGATAAGAAGCCGCGTGATATTTAAACCGCTGCCTTCATCTTCGTATAGTTCGGAGCAAACAACTTTCCCCATCTGCAGCAAGACGAGTTGGGGTTTCAGTTTTTATCCGAAAACAGTGGGGCTAAGAGCTGGGGGGAAAGGGATGCAGAGTCACCGCATGTTAATGATTCTTATAATTACAATAAAGAAGAACTTTCAATTCTAACTGCCGTTCTCAATTGGTTTGATGTAGACATCAGGAAAACTACAAACAAAAGGTTAGCTATGCATGGAAAGTAAATCAATGGTTCAAAGGGGTGGCTATGGAAAAGTAAGACATAAGCGTCAGCCATACGCAGAAATTCAGATAGTAGAGCACCTTTCTTCACTTGGCTACCTTCAAATTTAGGTTTCTTTGTCAAAATTAATTTATTTGGTTCTAAATGCTAACATATCAACTTTCAAAAACTAGTGGCTTAAATAAATATCTGCACTCTGGCATCATGTATGAAAAGATTAAATATGATTTAGTTTAAACTTCAGAATTATGTGTCAGATCAAGAACGAAACTAGGATATAATATTGAAAGTTAAATTATCTAATTTTTAAATTGATAAAGAGTGAGTGCAGAATCATTTCTTCCTCAATTCAAGAAATCATAAAACAGAGAGATCCGCTATCAAAAAACACCAATCCAATCTTCCTCGTAGGAACTGTATTACAAAAGTTAGATTGCTTTATCGGACCTTTAAAAGACAACAGATCCCTTTCGATCAATTCAATGACACAATCACAACTCTCAAAACACGACAAAGCTGGCCTGTAAAGACTTGAAGAACAAGCTCCAAAGGACTTGAACCCTTTTATAACCTTTACCAAGCTATACGATGATGAGCGACGACCATAGGCCGTTGTGGAGGTTGCCTGACGCAGGTGAGCATGAGAGTGATGATGATACCTAGTGCGAGGAGAAGTCCTGTGACGTCGACGCTTAGGTTTATTCAAAACTGCACCATCTCAATGCTATTAAAACCAGTTGCTAATTCCTTTTTTTATATAGAAGGGAATTACATCGAAATGCAATGCAGATTAAGGTGGCTCTCACAGTCGTTTAAAGTCAAGTCATGTGTGGAAATTTGGATGGCCTATAAGTTTTTCATTGGTCATATTAAGTTGTTAGCAGTAGAATATTGACTAATCTTATTGGATACCCTTCAAAGTCCATCCCCACAATGTTTTGTTGTGCCTAATAAATCAACCACCTGCTCCATAATACAAGTTGAAATGCTCTATGGAATCATTGTCAAAGTCCACGTCAAGTATCTAAATGTTGACACTGACTCCTGGTGTTCGACTATTTTGGCATTTGGCCGAGCATGGAGGTCTCTTTGCTACATGCTAGTACAAACTTTTTATTATGATTCAACTTTAAGTAAAATTTATGAGAAATGACCATCCAGCTCAGTTGGTAGAGCACAAGGTTCTAAACCTTGAGGTCGTGGGATCAAGTCCCACGGAGGGCATTTCATAATTTGGAGGTCTCCTACGGAAGCTACTCTCAACCTGGTGTTGGGGGCAGCCTACTATCTTACCTCCCCCTTACCCCATACATATGGGAAAAAAGGGACAGCCATTTTTTTTTTTAAGTAAAATTTATATGTAATGAAGGTCAATAAACAAAAGAAAAAAAAATCATAAATATGTGCGTCCTGATGGATTGCATTGATTATCGTAAAATACTGATATGAGATTGGATTAACCAGCTGGAATGGTATCAGAAATGATTATATCCGTACAACATATCTACTTTAGAATCAGTCTTCTACTTTTTATTTCTTGACGCAAAGCCGATTTTGATGGGAAGTGTTAAGACAATAAAGGAATCGTGGGAATGACCAATTGCATACACTAGTGATTTATAAAAATATAAAAAAGCTACGAACAATGGCGCACATTTACGGAATTCTCTGGGCGTACTTTAGCAGGGCTAATGGAACCTGAGTCTCTTGTCGATTCGTCGATGTTCTTGTATGTTTTCTTTCGATTGAAAACCTACCGGTCTTCTTTAATCACTTCACTCTCTTTTGTCAATGAATTGGTGTAAATTATTTGGGAGTCAAGCAAATCAGGAGCTTTCTTATTTTCCCCCAAAACCGAATGATAGGATTCCAATTGTTCAACCTCTTCCTGAGGTCTTCGAGGCAGGTACAACAGAATGGAAGTCCTCTCTTGTTGGGCAGTTCCTCGGGTCAGCCCCTAATTACCTTTCTCTACAAAAAGTCATTGATAATCTCTGGAATCAGGCTTCGAAGGGTGCTTCTATTCAGGTCAGTCTTGTTGGGAATAATTTATATATATTTTCATTCAGCTCTGATTCTGCTATGGATGGGTCCTTGAAAACGGACCATGGCATATTCTTAATAGGTCATTAATTCTCAGAAAATGGGAGCCTAATCTACAAAGGCTTAACTTTTATTTGTCTCGCCTGCCTTTATGGATTCATCTGTACAATGTTCCTCTAGAATTGTTTACTAGGGAAGGACTTAGCTACATTGCTAGTGCACTAGGTAACCCTATTTCCATGAACTCAGTAACTGCTTCAAAGACTAGGCTAGAATTTGCTAAGGTCTGTATTGGTGTAGGTGCTAAGGAGGAAATTCCAAAAACAGTTGAAGTGGTCATGGCTAATGGTCAGACCACTACCATCTATGTAGAAGTTCCCCGGTATCCTAGCTGTTGTAGAAGGTGTGAATCCTTTGGTCACACTGATATGAACTGCTCTAATAAAACTTCTTCAGCTCCTTCATTTACTAAAGTTTTGAAGAAGAAATCTGTCTTGAAAGCTAACCAAGAATCTAACTCCTCGGAAGGAATTGAAACCTTACAGGAACCTAATCCATACTCTTCCATTCCATTGGAAAAGTCTGACCTTACACAACAATTCACTCATTCCCCTATTAACAAGCTTGATCTTAATATTTTAGATAATGAGCTTCCTGTTAAGATCCATTCTCCAGTTCAAACTGCTTATTCTTCTAAGAGTGATCAAAGTATCCAAACTGGTGAAGAATCTTCTGTCTTACCTCATATTTCTACTAAACCTGTAGAATCTGTTATAGAGGAATCATCAACTGTTTAAATATCATCCAATGATAAGTATATTGTAGCAGATCCTATCCTTAAAAGAGGTAGAGGTAGGCCTCACAAAGTTAAATCTAAGATTGCACTAAAAGGATCAACTAATCGTTTTGAAATTCTAAGCACGGTTGATGAGAACTCTCCTTCTGTTGAGGTTCAAGGTAGAAAACCTAGGCCTGCTGCCTCAGGGGTTGCAAATCTGCTTAAGGAGCTTAAATTAAAAAAGAAAGAGCACATTGTAAAAGCACAAAGTTTTGTAGATAGTGAACAAGGGGTGACCCTATCTCTCCTTCTCAATGATCATATGCTTTTGGAACATAAGAGGATTAAATAATCATAAAAAACAAACTAAAGTTCTTAATAGAGCCAAGCTTCACAATGTTGAAATTCTCTATTTGTTGGAGACTCGTGTAAAGACTGAAAAATCTTCTGATATCATTCACTCTAGATTTGAGGATTGGAGTGTGATTACCAACTATGACTCAGCTACTAATGGAAGAATCTGGTTTCTCTGGAAGACAGAAATTGATATCTTATTCTGCCATTCTACTTCTCAAAGCATCACTGTTAAATGCACATTCAATAATGAGCCTTTTATCATCACTGCTATTTATGGAACTAATGATGGCCTTTCTAGGATACTTCTTTGGCAACATCTAAGAGATCTTGATATCTCTTTTGGCTCTCTCCCTTGAGTTCTAGGAGGAGACTTTAACACTTATCTTAATCCTAAGGAAAGTTCTGATTTTGATCTTTTAGGGCCTTTCTACTCTTCTGTTATGAAAGATTTTCATGATGTTTTATTTGATCTTCAACTCTGTGATCATCCTTATTTTGGTCCTTCATTTACTTGGAGTAATAAGCAAAAATAGAATTATCTTGCAAGAAAACTTGACAGAGTGCTTATTAATCCTCTATGGTCTTCTTCTTTCCAAAAGTTTTTTGTTGAATTCCTTGAGATCATTGTATGACACATGTCTGGTTAAGTAAAGAGATCCAAGTCAATCACCCTAAACCTTTTAAAATTTTCAACTTCTGGGTAAATCATCAAAATTTCCTTTATGAAGTTCTAAGTTCATGGCAGCAACCTTCCCAATGAAACCCTATGCACAGGCTATTTCAAAAATTAAAACGGATGAAACCTTGTTTACAGTCCTTCAACAAGG